CAGTGTGCAGTGAGCCGAGATGCTCCACGGCTCAAGCCTGGGTGTCACGCGAGATCTGTCTCAAAAAAATAAAAAAAAAAAAAAAAAAAAAAGAAATGTCTTATAAAACACCCATGCACTAAATAGGACCTAAAAAGAAAAGGTTAATGGAAAGGAAAGGCAGTGTGGAAGCAAGGACGGCATCAATTCTTAAGGACGGCACCCCTTAAGGAGTGGCCGCTGTTGCCATGAGGTGCTCATGGTACACATTTGTCACCTGGGATAGTGCACTGGGAAAACGGGAGTCAGGGCACCTGGCTCTGCCTCCACCTTCCTGTGTAGCCTGGGACAAGACACTCAGCCTCTCTGAGCTGGCTCTCTTTAAAAGGGGGAAAGTGCCGTTCCTGCCCTTTGGGGCTGCTGTGAAAGCTCACGTGCTGTCAGGCAAGATGTTCTGTTCCCTGCATGTTCCCCGCTATGCCCAGGCAGGAACTGGCACCCCAAGGGGCTGCTTAGAGTGGAGACACTGCACCATTGCTGGACAGCAGCATAGACTGACCTGGACAACGCGTCCCACCACCGGATTCAGGGTCACACTTGGAGGAGCCTCCCTGACCAAACCCCAGTGGCGTTTGCAGGGCCAGAGGAGCCGGAAGCAACCTGGAAACAGCTAGTTCGGGATGCGCTTGGGGCTTCCCTAGAGGGCAGGCAGCACCTCATCTGTGAGACAGGGATAATATCTGTACCTAGAAGTGGGGAGCTACGTGCCTGGCAATAGGAAGCACCCCATAAAATAAGGTGTTTATCTCTGTCTCAGTTTGCTCATCTGTAAAATGGGGAGAAAAATACGAAAGAGGGCAAATAAAATGGGGATGCTAATTATAACCTCGAAATGTTGATGTGAGGACTAATCGAGTTATTTCACGTAAATCACTCAGCACAGGTCCTGGCACATAGGAAATGCTCAAAAATGCAGCTGCTCTTACTATTATTGTTGTTATGCAACATTATGAACAATAACAGCCAAAGTCTCAGGATAAGACTTGAGGCCAGCTTCCATTTAAAGTCATCGTTACTACTACCCAGGTATGGTGGTGCATGCCTGTAGTCCCAGTTACTCAGAAGGCTGAGGTGGGAGGAATGCTGAAGCCCAGGAGGTCGAGGCTGCAGTGAGCCATAATTGCACTCATGCACTGCAGCCTGAGTGACAGAGCAAGACCCTGTCTCAAGCACAAAAAAGTCACTATTACTAATTTATGTTTGGCTGAGGGCCACCAAGATCCCTGGAGCTTTTGGGGGACACCTGGCGTCCAGGCGTTGTCCTTTGTCGCTGACACCAGCCTGGGGATAGGCTTAGGTTCCTGATGGACTGTTTTGCACTCCCTTTGAGCATCTGCCAAGCTCACAGGCCCAGGGTGTTTTCGTTGTCAAGGACCAGGATAGGTGAAGAAATGTTGAAAATTAGACTCCCATCTGAAGGTGGGACCACCCGCATGAGGAAGTGGAGTTTCCCTGGAGGGTGGAGCCTCTAGACCCAGGAGGGAGGGAAGGACTCTCAGAAGCAAATGCTGAGCATATGGCCTTGCTGTCACCAGGGGGTGACATCTACAGAGCAGGAAGCTCTCTCTGCATCCCTCAGGACAATCCAGGCTACCTGCACCTGGATATGGCCAGGTGGACCCTGAACCTGGGCCTTTTAGCATCCCTGTGATGCTGTGACTGGAAACATTGTTTCTGCCTCTGCACAAACCTTTAAGAAGGAGGCCCCAGTGAGAAACGGGTTCAACCATAATCAAAGCTCTGTCTCAAGAGGAAAAGGGGGGAAGATGATGGAGACAGAGTGAATGAGCACAGGCTTCAGCCCATCACCGGAACACCGATCTGGTCACGCTGAAAATGGAAAGTGCCATTTCCCCACTGCCTGACTAAGCACTGAGGCACTGCTGGCCACAGCCAGGGCTCCCTGCGGGGTCCCTGGGACTCGGAGGCCCAAGCCCACTCCCTTGCACATCCCATAAATGGCTCTTCCTGTGTTCCCTGCAGTCAGCATCCTTCCTGGAGGGCAAGTGGAGCCTGACCTCGTCCTAGAAGAGGTTGAACCGCACTGGGAGGATGCCCACCAGGATGTCAGTACCAGCTCGCAGGGTACAGAGGTGGTTCCAGCTTATGAAGAGGAGAACAAAGCCATGGAAAAGATGCCGAGGTGGGGAGTCTGAGAAGACCCTAAAAGATTAGTTATTGTTTGAGAAGGTACCAAGCATGCAGTACCTTATCCCAAAGGTATAAAAAGGCACAGAGCAGGAACCAAACCTGCTTCCCCCTGCCTTCATACAGCCATCCTTCTCCCATGGGTACAACGGCTACCAGGTTCTTATGTGCCTCTCTAGAGACAGTCTGGGCATATGCAAGCTAACATCTCCCTCCTTTTTTCTTTCTGTACAGAAGGTAGCATAGCACACATACCTATCTGCACCTTGCTATATTTATTCAACGACATACCTTGAGGTCTTTCCACATTCAGGATATAGAGAGCATCTTCATTTTTCACTGCTGCATAGTATTCCATCATATGGCTGTACCATAATTTATTATTCACTATTGATGGACATTTAGGTTGGTTCCAAATTTTTGTTATTATGAACAATCCTGCAACAGGCACTCTTGTATGCATGTCTTTGCCCGTGTGTGAATACATCTGCAGGAGATTTCTAGAGGGGAATTGTGGGTCATTGGTCGTGAGAATGTGGATTTGTGGTCGTGACCGCCACGTCACTTTCCATAGGGATGTCGCAATCTTTGTTCCTACTAGAGATGCTTGGTGACAGCGGGAGGTCTTGGGTTCTGAAGTCTGTAACTTACATAGCTAAGATGGGGAAACTGAGGCCCAGAGAGGATCAGAGGCTGACCTAGGCTCACCACCAGGACAGTGGCTGGGACAGTCCCCTCATGCAGAGGAGAGGGTTTGTTGCCAGAGAGAGTCCAGGGTTGCTCAGGTGGGGCTCCTTGGGTTGAGCCTTGGTTGGAAAGTCCAGGTCTGGGCTCAGGAGTCATGGGACATCCTACAGAAAATGGGGGCAAGAGGTAGACTCAGCGGGGCAGCTTCAAGTGGACTCACCTCCTGCCTCTAACCCCAACTTAGAGAGCTGTCCAGGATTGAAGAGGAGAAAGAAGATGAGGAGGAGGAAGAGGAAGAGGAGGAGGAGGAAGAGGAGGAGGAGGTGACTGAGTAAGTCGTTTGCTCACCTGGCTGGGAATGGTCCTGGGGCTGGGGTTGGCTGAGCTCCTGGGGTCTGGGCACTCTTTGCTGCTCATGGGAGCTCCTTTCTCTTGTTCTGTGCTATGTGAGGCTGGGCTTTGACCAGAGAGGCTGGGAGAAGCTGGGGTTCCCCTGCTGTGCTCATCATGACCTGGGAATCATATTACCCACCACTCCACATCCCTCTCCACACACACTAGAATGCAGCCTCCAAGAGGGCTGGGAACTTTTATCTGTTGCTTTCATTGCCATGTCCCTAGAGCCTAGAATGGTGCCTGGTACACAGTGGGCACCAAATAAATGTTAGTTGACTGCAAGGGCATATGCAGTGGACTCCCAGTTCTCCCATTATTCACAAAGCCAAGGCTGCCTCCCCTCCATATCCACCCACCTTGGTTGCCTTTGATGCCTTCTAGGGCTGTCCTGGGTTCTACTCTACTGCCCAGTAATGGTCGATCGTCCACCCACATCCATAGATTTCAACGCTAAACACACAGAAGAGTTCAGTTAAAATAAAAGTTAAACACTGGAGATCAGGAAACACTATGGAGGGTGAGTGGAAGAATGGCTGGACAGGGGGATACCCATGGGGAAGAGCAGGCAGTTGGACACCTGTGCCTGGAGTTAGGAGCGGGAGAGGTGGGGCTGGAGATGTGACATTGGGATTCTGGGCATGTGAGTGGCATTGAAAGCTATGGGGTTCAAGGAAATGCCCAGGAAGCAAGTGTGGATAGAGGAGAGGCTCATGGACAAGACCAGAGGTTGGAGAGATGAGGAACCAAAAAGGACTGAGGAGGAGGCACCCGTGAGCAGGGAAGAGACAAGAAGAGTGTGGGGCCTAGAAACCAAGTTAGTGTTTCAAGAAGGTCGGCCAGTCATGGTGGCTCACACCTGTAATCCCAGCACTCTGGGAGGCCGAGGCGGGTGGATCACTTGAACCCAGGAGTTCAAGACCAGCCTAGCCAATGTAGCAAAACCCCATCTCTATTAAAAAAAAAAAGAAAAAAAAAAAGAAAAAAAAAAAAAAAAGAAGAAGAAAGAAGAACTGCCTCAAAAGCAGGTTGTAAAGCCTTGAACTAGTTTTTCCAAAGGCAATAGGGAGCCATTGAAGGTTCATAAGCAGGAGACTAGCATGATCCGGCAGCTATGTTGGAGAAAGATTGAGGCAGGGAGAATGATGAGGAGACTGTTATGGTGGGCCAGGTGATAGTAAGTTACTCTGTCCTTGCTCCAGTCCCCTGGCATTATGTCCCTGTCTCTCTGCCCACCGTAGGTACCTCATGACCCGCATCCTTTCTCCCTGACCTGTCTCTCTGGCCACGGCCTGAGACATGATAGCACTGTGAGTGTTAGGAGCACAGGCTTTGGCATCTGAAACACCAATACCACTTTGCTTCTCTTAGTGAAATGACCAGGGCCAGTGGTGTACCCGCTCAGAGCTTCTGTCTCCACATCTGTAAAATGGGGGATAATACAAGCCTCCTGCAGGGGGTCATCAGGGCCAGTGGTGATGATGGAAGTGGTAGGACCAGGCCTGGAGTAAGTGCCCCATCGGTGGCCACTGTTGTTCTCGTCCCCGCTGATGGCCTCTTTTTGTTCTAGTCAGGAAATAGTTGAACAGGATTTCAGAGCTGGAGGCCTGTTCGGTGTCATCTGCTTTTAGTCCATCCTTACTCAGTTCACATAGACTCTTTCCATCCTTGACAGGAGGCCACACAGCCTCGACTTGCTTACCACCAGTGACGGGAAACTCACAACCTCTCAAAGGCTGTCCATTACATCTATATTCCCCTCTGACTTGTGAAATTATTTCTTACACCAAAACTAAGCCTGCTTTCCTGTGGCTTCTATCCCTTCCTGACTTGTCCTAATTCTGCCTTCTGAGCCACCCTGCAGTCCCAGCAAGGTGAAGAACTTAGCTGCTGCCTGGTTTCATTAGAGCAGCTTGTTTGCCCTCTGCCTTCTATGGAGCTATGCTTCTGTGTGGAGTGCATAGCTAAGTGGCTCCCTTGCTGAACTTACACACCTAACACCCAGGCTGGAAAACCCCTGTATTTGCCACTGCTCTGGATCTGAGACACCCTTTGAAGGCCAGTGATCAACTATGCTCACATACATGCATGTGCATACGAGCACTAACTATACATATGTTCTCAGAATGCAGTACATACACATGGGCACACACACGCGTATCTACACTATACCCGTATATACCAGCACACCGACACAGACATATATACTGGGTTATACACACAGTTACATGTACAGGCATGCATACATTTATACCTACACACATCCTGCATATATGCACAAGCACAGGCAGCACACTCATACATGTTCATACATGTGTGTGCACACAGGCACACATGTACACACTTGCACACATGCACGCGACAGCCTTGCACACATGCACATGCATCGGAGTCACCCGCAGATGCTGCAGACGTGCACGTCTTCATACAAATGTTCACCCAGAGTTTTGAACTCAGGAAACTTTTGGGCTCCAAGCCCAGGGAGGGGCAAGGGAGTGACAGAGTGGGTGATCACAGGGCCAGGGTCAGAGGGTGTGAGGCCCAGGGCAAGCAAAACTGGGCTGTCACTGGCTGGGGAAGGATGCTCTTGGCCAGCTTTGCAGAGACACAGGTTACTGATGACGTGAGGGCCTGGTAACGGGCAGATGAGACCCGGTCGCCTAGAGACCCGGTCTCTACAGGCAACAGCTCAGCTTTCCCTAGCAACCACGGCCTTTTGGTTCCACCTGGCCCCCCTGGGGATGCTTCTGCTGTTCCCTGCACATCTCCTCAATCTGATTAGAAGCAGGAAGGATTGCTGGCTCCTCTGCCACTGGAGCCACGCTGGCTCAGGAGCTGGGCTCCCACTTGCATGCACCCACCCAGGCTTGGGATGAATGTCACAGCCCTCAGCTGAACCCCTGCACTATGGGCATCCTGACTGGCCCTGACGGAGAGACCCAAGTAGGTGGCTGCCCCTCCCTAAGTCTTCCCTCCTTCGTGCTTTTGGGGCTGGGATTTCAGGTGGAGAGTCTGCTGAAGGTGACAGTGAGGACCGTAGCATTGGGGCACGGCCTGCGGGATGGCACAGGGGAGGAGGAGTGGACAGGAAGCTTTTGAGAGCTGGCTGCCACTGCTGCTCCCTGGATCTTAAACTTGGAAAGTGTGGGCGGGGCGGGGGGCGCCTCCAGGAAACCCACCTCAGCCAATCTGTCTGTTTCTCTGCTTGGAAATCCCTGGGACTTGGGAACTTTCTGGAAGTTGATAGCTTGCTGCTTCTGGGCTGTGCAAGAGGGGACCTTGGCAGGCACTGGGCACCCTGTCAAGCAGGGGCCATGTGGCTTTGGTACATCGTCCCTAGACAGCCCCTGGTGATGCTGACAGCGCCACTACTGGGCTGTTTAGTTGTTTTGATAGCTGGAGATGTTTGTGCAAAATGTTCCTCAGTCCACGTGGGTGATTTCATAACCCTGCAGATCGCTGCCTCCTCTGGCATTAATGATAATAATGACAAGAACAATAATAATGGCTTCCATTTGACTTACAATTTTTTTCCATGTGACTCATGGCTAAGGCAGCCTGAATGGCAGATTCTATTATTCTCTCATCCCATTTCACAGATGAGAGAACTGAGGTTCAGAGACAGGGCCCTGTCTCTGAAGTGTAGAGCTGGGATTCTTGGCATTCCAAGGAAAGCTGCTCCCAATGTTTAGTGATGACGAATCCGGAAGAATCACCAGAACAACACCTGGCAGTCCTTTTTTTGACTTTTCTATGAAATTCTCATTGGCCCTTCTGATCTTACTCAAATAAGTCAGGCTGCACAGGCCAGGCAAATCCTACCCGTTTGACAGATGAGCAGACAGAGGCAGCCCAAGGGCTTCGAGGTGACTTGCCCAAGGCCTTACAGTGGCTTCTGGTCTGATACTGGAATAAGCAGGACCCCAGGAAGCCTCTGGCTGGGCCTGTGGGCAGTTCATTTTCTGAGCCTTTGTGCTGTAGGCAGAGAGCCGACACAGACCCTGTATCTATTTCAGGAAAGTCATCCAGTCATCCCCCTTGCAGACGGAGACCTGTCTTTAACCCATTTGTGCAAGGCTGACTTCTTAGTGTAGGAGGCACAGTCTCCAAAATACTTCAGAGGCGGGCAGTGAAACAGAGCATTAAGCACGTGGCCTTGGGGTCAGGGATGCAGTATCTTATCTAGGCCCACCTTGCACAGGCAGTATGACCGTGGATCGGCCATCCAAACTCTCTGAGCCTCTGTTTTCTCAGCTTGCATGTGAGCAGTAACAGTTCCGATCTGTCAGGGTTATGTGAGATTTGGTTGTTTTTTTTTTTTTTTTTTCTTTTCTTGCTTATTTTTTTTTAAAGACAGAGTCTCGCTCTGTTGCCCAGGGAGTCAAGTGGCACAATCCTGGCTCACTGCAATCTCTGCCTCCTGGGTTCAAACGATTCTACTACCTCAGTCTCCCAAGTAGCTGGGATTACAGGCATGCACCACCACGCCTGGCTAATTTTTGTATTTTTAATAGAGGCGGGTTTCACCATATTGGCCAGGCTGGTCTCAAACTCCTGACCTCAAGTGATCTGCCCGCCTCGGCCTCCCAAAGTGCTGGGATCACAGGCATGAGCCACTGTGTCCAGCCTAATTATTTTTTCAATTGACAAAAATTGTATATATTTTTGTGTATAATTGTTGTTTTAAAATATGTATACATTGTGGAATGGCTAAATCGAGCTAATTAACATACAGATTTCCTCATATGTTCATCATTTTTTGTGGTGAGAACAGTTTAGATCTACTCTTAGCAATTTTTACAAATACAATACATTGCTATTAACTAGAGTCACATGCTGTATAATAGATCTCTCACATTTATGCTTTCTATCTAGCAGAACCTTTGTACCCTTTAACCAACATCTCTCCAACCCTCGCCCCTCCACAGCCCCGGTAACTACCATTTTATTATCTCCTTCTGTGGGTTCAACCTTTTTACACTACACATATAAGTGAGATCATATGGTATGTGTCTTTCTGTGTTTAGCTTATTTCACTTAACGTAATGTCCTCAAGGTTCACAAATGACAAAGTTTCCTTCATCTTAAAGGCTGAATTCTTTTGTGTATATATAGGACATTTCCTTGATCCACTCATCTGTTGATAGACACTTGGGAGGCCGAGGCAGGTGGATCACTTGAGGTCAGGAGTTCGAGACCAGCCTGGCCAACATGGTGAAACCCTGACTCTACTAAAAATACAAAAATTAGCCGGGTGTGGTAGCATGGGCCTGTACTCCCAGCTACTAGGGAGGCTGAGGCAGAAGAATCACTTGAACCCGGGAGGCTGAGGTTGCAGTGAGCCGAGATCACATCATTGCACTGCAGCCTGGGCGACACAGCGAGACTCTGTCTTGAAAAAAAAAAAAAATTAATGCTGCAATGATAGGAGTGCAGACATCTCTTCAACATACTGTTTTCATTTCCCTTGGATCTGTACCCAACAGCTGAATCATATGGTAGTTCCATTTTTAACTTTTTGAGGAACTTCGTATTCTTTTCTATAATGCTTGTGTTAATTTACAATCCCACCAACAGCGTATAAGTGTTCCCTTTCCACTGCATCCTCACCAACACTTGCTAGCTTGTCTTTTTTTGGGCAGGGGCGGGGGACAGAGTCTCACTGTGTTGCCCCAGCTGGAGTACAATGGCGCAATCTCAGTTCACTGTAACCTCCGCGTCCTGGGTTCAAGCAGTTCTCCTGCCTCAGCCTCCCAAGTAGCTGGGATTACAGGAGCGTGCTGCCACGCCTGCATAATTTTTGTATTTTTAGTAGAGACAGGGTTTCACTATGTTGGCCAGGCTGGTCTCGAACTCCTGACCTCATGATCTGCCCGCCTCAGCCTCCCAAAGTGCTTGGATTACAGGTGTGAGCCACTGCACCCGGCCTATCTTGTCTTTTTGATAATTGCCATTCTAACAGGTGAGAAGTTGATATTTCATTGTGGTTTTGATTTGCATTTCTCTGATGATTCATGACGTTAAGCATCTTTTCATATACCTGTTGGCCATTTGTATTTCACCTTTTGAGACACCGAGACATGTCTATTCAGATTCTCTGCCCATTTTTTTAAATCAGTTTTTTCTTACAATTGAGTTGAGTTTCTTATATATTTTGGATATTAACCCCTTATTCAACTTACGGTTCGCAAGTATTTTCTCCTGTTCTGTAGGTTGTCTCTTCAGTCTGTTGATGGTTTCCTTGGCTGTGCAGAAGCTTTTTAGTTTGATGTAATCCCATTTTGTATATTTTTGCTTTCATTGCCTGTGCTCTTGGGTTCATATTTTTAAAAATCACTGCTTAGACCGATGTCATAGAGCTTTTCCCCTATATTTTCTTCAAGTGGTTTTATAGTTTCAGATTTTATGTTTAAGTGGTGTTCAATCAATGTGGGTAGGGTTTTTTGTTGTTGTTGTTGTTGTTTTTTTTTTTTTTTTGAGACAGGGTCTTGCTGTGTTGCCCAGGCTGGAGTACAGTGGTGCAATCACAGCTCATTGCAGCCTCCACCTCCCAGGCTTAAGCAATCCTCCCACCTCAGCTTTCCAAGTAGCTTAGACCACAGGCACATGCCACCACACCCAGCTAGTTTTTGTATCTTATAGAGATAGGATTTTGCCTTGTTGTTCAGGTTGGTCTCGAACTCCTGAGCTCAAGCAATCCTCCTGTCTCAGCCTCCCAAAATGCTGAGATTACAGGCATGAGCCACCACACCCAGCAATCTTCTTGAGTTTCTTTCATTGATGTTTTGTAGTTTTCAGCATACGGTTCTGTCACCTTCTTGATTAAATTTATTCCTAAGCTTTTTATTTTACTTTATAGCTATTGTAAATAGCGTTGTTTCATTTCTTTTTCAGATAGTTCATTGTTAGCATATTGAAATGCTACTGAATTTTGTATGTTGATTTTATGTCCTGCAACTTTACTGAATTGGTTTATCAGTTCTAATAGTTTTTGTGGTGGAATCTTTAGGGTTTTTTTATATATAAGATCAAGTTATCTGCAAAGAGGAACAATTTAATTTCTTCCCTTCCAATTTGGATGCCTTTAATTTCTTCTTCTTGCCTAATTGCACTAGCCAGGACCTCTTATACTACATTGAATAGAAGTGAGAGTGGGTCAGGCGTGGTGGGTCACATCTATAATCCCAGCACTTTGGGAGACCAAGGTGGGAGGATCACTTGAGGTCAGGAGTTTGAGACCATCCTGGGCAATGTAGCAAGACCCTGTCTCTACTAAAATACCAAAAACCCAAAACAAAACCAAACCAAACCAAAAATATCCAGGAGTGGTGGCGCATGCCTGTAGTCTCAGCTACTCAGGAGACTGAGGCAGGAGGATGGTTTGAGCCTGGAAGGTTGAGGCTGTAGTGAGCCATGATCATGCCACTGCACTCCAGCCTTGGTGACAGAATAAGACCCTGTCTCAAAAACAAACAAACAAACAAAACAAAACAAAAGAAAAAGAAAAAGAAAAAGAAAAAGAAAAAGAAAGAACTGGTGAGAGTAGGCATGCTTGTCTTGTTCTTGATCTTAAAGGAAAGGCTTTCAGCTTTTCACCATTGAGTATGATGTCAGCTGTGGGCTTGTCATACATGGCCTTTGTTGTATTGCGGTCCATTCCTTCTATACATAATTTGTTGAAAGATTTGATCATGGAACGATGCTGAATTTTGTCAATTGCTTTTTCTGCATCTGTTGAGATGATCATATGATTTTGTTGCCGTGGTGTACCGCATTTATAGATTTCTCAGGGTAATTTGGAGGAGGATCTGGGGAGACTTTGCATGCAGAGTGCCTGGCACACAGCCCAGGAGCCGCTGTGGCAGTGTGATTACCGACTGATTTCTGCTGCCAAGCAGCTGGCTCCAGACTGACTAGGCAACAATCCCGTCCCCACCTTCCTACCCCACCGTCCTTGCTCGGGAGGGCTGAGACTTGACCCTCTGGGTAGAGAATGATGCATTCAGGTTTCCTGGGTGGCAGACACCCCAGAGCATCCTCTGTGAGCCCCTGGATGACAGGAGTCTGAGGGGTGGGAAGGGGCTGTTAGGAAGCAGGAACTAATCCTAACTACAAAAATCACATTAGTTCCTAGTCCTGAGTCATCATTTTAACCCAGAGGTTGCACACGGACATCTAATTTAGCCAGGAGACAGGTTCTTTTGGCTACAGCATATTAATAAACATATATTAATTTGAATTATCAGCATTTAAACATCAGACAACTTCACCTTAGAAACATATATTTCAGGCTCTGTGAATGACCTGGCCACCTGGCCCTCTTTCCCAGTGGAGTGGGGGTTGCTGCCTTCAAATGGACATGGGTTCTCCAATTTGCCACAGCCCTCCCTGCCCACTGCAGCCTCACCCCTGGTCCTATCACTATGTGCATGCTGCCTGGGCCCGGCACCCATGAAATCTTCAGCAGTTGCAGTGGCTCTGATCTCATGGCATGAGAAGAACCAGGGCTTGGGTTTGAGATTTGTGTGGTTTGGGATAATTTGCTGTGTGACTTCGTCAGGTCACTTCACCTCTCTGGGCCTCACTTTTGTCATGCTCTGCCCATCATCAAGACTGCCTGGAGACTGGGAGACCCCAGATGACAGCTCCTCCAACCATCTTCCATGCATTTCTCACACATGCTGTTCCCGTTTCCTGAGCAACCTCTTCCTCCCCCCCATTCTCTGTGGTAAAATCATCATCCTGGAGGCTCAGGTGACAGGCCACCTCTTCCAGGAAGCCCTCCTTCCTAGCAGAGTTGTGGCTTGTCCTTCACAGTGCCTTGCTGAGTGCACGTCTCAGATGGGAAGATTGTTAGCAGGACACTGCCCTGGAGGCTCCTGAGGGTGAGACCTGTTCTTGGGCATCTCTGTGCCCTCCGCTCCTGGCACAGAGTGTGGCCCTCAGCAGGGCTGGTGAAACCTTTAACACCCATAACCCAGTCCTTTTCTCCTGCCCCTACCCCCACCCCGCCCCGGGTCACAGGGTGCTGCTGGATAGCTGTGTGGCGTCGCAGGTGGGCGTGGACCAGAGCGAAGAAGACAGGACCTGGCCCCAGAGCGCTTCAGACCAGGTATGAGAAGCACCAGGCACCGGCACCTCTGAGGCCTGGCTTGGCATCAGTGGAAGGATGGGGACCTTGTCCACTTTGCTTGCAGGGGGAGTTTTGGCTGGTAAAATGCCCACAGGACAGAGGGGGCAGGGTGGCAGGTCCTGCGAGACCCCTTCTTGGCAGGGGTCAGATAGTGGCCTAGGCCGTGGGTTCGGAGTCGGGTGGACCCGGCTCGAGTCCTCCTGTGGATGCCTAGCTTAGGGCAAGTCACCTCCCCACTCTGGGTCCCAGTGGCCACCTGTGTGCGAGGGGGCTACAGACACCTCCCTGGGGCCTGTAGGAGGACCCGAAAGGGCTCGCACACTGTGAAGTGTGGTGCTGTGGATGCTTTGTTCCCCCATGTGCCAGGCTGCAAGAGAGTGTCCCTCATCACAGGTGACACGTCCAGCTGTTAGGACCCGTAGGTCCTGGGTGCACTGCCCTCTACAGGTTGTAGGCTACTCCCGGGATGCCCGGAAGGTGGGCTGGCAGGACCTGACTGGCTGGACAGGGCAAGAAGCAGAACTGGGCCCGTGTGGACTCCTGAAGGCAGATCTAACAGGAGCTGCTGAGACTAGGGCTGGGGGCTGATGGTTACAGTTCCTGTTTCCACTTTATCTTTGCAGAAGTTGTGGGAGGAAGCTGGGGAGGAGGCCGGGAAGGAGGCTGAAGAGGAGACTGAAAAGGAACACCAGGACCACGCGGGGACCAAGGAGGAGCCTGAGGCTGAGGCCAAGGCTGCCAGTTCAGGAGGTAGGTGTGGTGGTGGTGGTGGTGGTTTGCACAAGAATATCTGAGGTCCTTTCAGGCTGGAGGCAGCCTCCGTGCAGGGTCAACCCCTCCTCCTCTCCCTCCATCTCCTTCCCCCCATTGCCCCCCTCAGCCACCCTGTCTTCAGGAAAATCCCATCCTCGGTGTCTTGGGGCCACATTATCAGAGCCTACTGATATATCTCAAAGGCTCTAAGGAATTGCACTGAGGCCCAGGACTCCCAGTGGGGCCGGGGAAATCCCGATCCCAGCCAACTCCTTCCTGCCAACCTCTCTCTGCCAGCCCCTCCTGCAGGCCCCTCCTAACCAGCCCCTCCCAGCCAGTCCCTCCTGCCAGCCTCTCTTGCCATTACTGCTCAATGAGGATGCAGCGCTTGGTCTACTGCCCAGTGAGGGTTTGGCTCAGACATCACATGTGGAGTGAAAACTGGAACCAGAACTTGCTAACAGAGTGTCCTGGACTCCACGTCTCTTTCTGAGCTTTTCCTGATCTCCAGCTGTACCCAGCACATATATTTTGCTGTGATTTACCACCCTGCCCTCAATCCTGAGAACTCAAGCAACGGCGGAGAAAAAGCCCCAGGGAGTCCAGCAACAGCTGGGCCCTGGAGCCGGGACAGGCGGGCCCCAACCCCAGGCTGGCGGGTATTGCGTGCCTTACACTCCACCTTCCCCATGCCATGGGTCTTCAGCCGCTCTGTGAGGCAGACAGGCCATTTTACAGATGAGAAAGCTGAGGTTCTGTGTGTGCGGATTTGGCCAAGAGGTCAAGGCACAGACCTACATTTCACTCCTGGCTCCTCTCTCTCTTCCTTGCTGTGTGACCCAGAGCCAGTTCTGTGACCTCTCTGAACCATGACTTCCAAATCAAGAAAAATGGGGCAATAATAGTACCTAGGTCACAGGTTGCTGGGCAGAGTAGGGGAGACAATGTGTCAAAGGCATCCCAAACTGTGGCTGGCACTGAGGGAGGAGTCAATATTGGGACAAGGATGTGTCTCGGCCAGCGAGCGGTTGAAATGGGACTGGACCCAGGTGTCCTAACCCTGGGTGTCCTGAGCTTGCTCCCTACTTGGTCTTTGAAAAGGGTTCTTTGTTAACTTCAACACATATCTATAGGAATTCCTACTAAGTCCAGGCCTAGGGCTGGGTCCCCACATGGATGAAAAAGACCAGGAGCAAACAGATGCAGGCTTGGTTCGGTGGGGCTGGTTCTGCCCCTTCCCCAGGTGATTTGGAAGCAGGTGGTCTGGGACCCACATCTGAGAAACGCTGAGGCATAGCCATTTGCACTGAAAAGTATGGGCCTGGCCAGGCGCAGTGGCTCACACCTGTAGTCCCAGCACTTTGGGAGGCCGAGGTGGGCGGATCACGAAGTCAGGAGATCGAGACCATCCTGGCTAACATGGTGAAACCCCATCTCTGCTAAATACAGAAAACATTAGCTGGGCGTGCTGGTGGGCACCTGTAGTGCCAGCTACTTGGGAGGCTGAGGCAGGAGAATGGCGTGAACCCAAGAGGCGGAGCTTGCAGTGAGCCCAGATCGCGCCACTGCACTCCAGCCTGTGTGACAGAGCGAGACTCTATCTCAAGGAAAAAAAAAAAAAAAAAAAAAAAAGTATGGACCTAGACCCAGCAGCTTTGGCGTAACCCGGGCGCTGGTTAGAAATGAGAAACTTGGGTCCCAGTCCAGACCTGCTGAATCAGACTCCTCATGGGAATAAGATCTGGTGATTTGTCTGCACATGTGTGTTTGAGGGGCAATAGCCTTGAGCCCTGGTTCTCAAACCTGACAGCCCATTGGAATCACCTGGGGAGATTTAACAATTCCTGCTGCCAGGCCTCATCCCAGTCATTAAATCAGAATCTCTGGGAATGGGCCTGGGTAACAGAAATCGTCAGACCTTCCCAGGTGATTCCAATGCATAGCCCAGCTGGGGAGCCAGGGCCATAGCTTCTGGTTGGAAGTGAAATTAATTGACCTCCAGGGCTGTTTTGGACTGGAAAATTCTACCAGGCTAAGAATGTTTGAGTCCTGGGTTCTTTGGGTCTAGGAATCTGAGAGTCTGTGAGTTCTGGGTTCTTTGATTCTAATATTTTTGGGAAATGCTGCTGGTGGTTGGTAAGTGGAGGGGGAATGAGAAGTTGGGGGCCTCCTGGGCTGTCCCTTGGTGCTCTTGGGTGGCCAGCCACAGGACCTGATGACACATTAGACATTGAACTCCAGGGACAAGAATCATGCTTCTGGCTTTGGGTAGCACTGCTGAAAATGCAGGTAGGCACCAGGCTGGTCGTGTTAGGCTGGTGGGAGGACCCCCACATATCATCTCCCTCAACTCTGTGCTCCTAATTGCAGTCCCCAGGGTCGCACCTCTGCCTGAGACCCTCTGGCCCCAGCACCATGGCTACACCAGGCCAGAACATGGAGCTGAATCGCCTAGTCCAGGACCAGCTACCTGGCCAGGTGGCCCCTGCCTCTGCGCTCCAAAACCTGGTAGAGCATCTCCCTAATGTGCCCAGCTACCGTGTCCCAGTCACCCGCATCCCTGTCCTCACCTCCCGGAGAACCAGCTTGTCCAACTCCAGCTTCGCCAAGGAGACCAGGAGCTCCATCCGCCAACTAGGTAGCACGATCCTGCCCCACCCAGCATGCTCATATCTGTGGCATGTGCTTCTGCATGGCTGGGGCTGTCTTCTTCCCTGGGTGCTGTGGTCATGGTGTGGACCACTAGTTGTGCTTATGGAAAACCATCTCCTCTTCCTCTGCCGATCAATACCTTCATCCTGCTTTGTGGTAGTGACTTGAGAGGTTTTAGCCCCCTTCTCTTCATGCCTAAAATTCCACTACAATTAGCAATTCATTTATTTTTTCTCTCTCTCTTCCTCTTTCTCTCTTTTTTTTCTTTTTTTTTTTTTTGAGACAGTCTCTCTCTGTCACCCAGGCTGGAGTGCAGTGACGTGATCTCAGTTCACTGCAACCTCTGCCTCCTAGCAATTCTTGTGCCTCAGCCTCCCGAGTAGCTGGGATTACAGGCACACGCCATCACACCTGGCTACTTTTTGTGTTTTAGGAGAGACGGGGTTTTGCCATGTTGGCCAGGGTGGTCTCAAACTCCTGATATCAAGTGATCTGCCCACCTCGGCCTCCCGAAGTGTTGGGATTACAGGCATAAGCCACCGTGCCTGGCCAGCAATTCATTTTTTCGGGTTAAACATACATTTCTTTCCTTAGGCACATCATTTTTATATAGGTAATCATTCACACCTTAGTTTAAACAAGTCACTTGCTCAGATCTCTAGGCCAAGAGGCTCGGACAGGGAGTCTGGGATCAGACTGGAGGGGAATGAAAGGAGGGAAATGGAATAGAAGAGGAATGTGGGTGCTGATTGCAGATAGAACCCATTGACCTTAAGTTTGCCGCTCAGCAAATTCCATTTCAGGAAAGAAGCTCCAGGTGCAGACAGGCATCCTCAGAGGCTAGGGTGGAGCGAGGGCTGTCTGGATCCATTGATTGTGACAAGGTCCCCATAGTGGCCTTTGGGCTGCCACTGCTCACTGCCTGAAGACAAAGAGCTCAGGGACATACTGGCACCCCAGACTAACTCCTGCCACTTTCTGACTTAACCCAAGCCAGACATGCCTGCTTTCCCTTTTGATTGGCTTGTTTATCTGTGGTTGACACGGTGCAGGGCTGCCTCTGAGATCAGTCCAGTCAGGCAGGACAGAACATTTCATGGGAAGACATCCACTGTTGTCCTTCTCTCCTCTCCCTGGCTTGAGGTGGGCACAGAGAGGAGGTGAGGTGGCACACAGATCATCCAACAGTAAGGGGTGCCACCCCGGCCTCCACCTTCTAGGCAAGCCTTGAATCTACTATGCCAAAGCAGCCTACCCCTATCATTGAGGATACTGAATTGCAAAAAAAAAAAAAAGAAAAAAAAGAAGAAGAAAAGAAAGGAAACAAAATAAAAAGACCTCAAAGCATCCCCCAGTTCCCACCTCCACAGGCCACTCCCTGATAACTGCTAAATCTGTACCAATTCTATTATTTTTTTTGGACGGGGGAGGGGGACGGAGTCTTGCTCTGTTGCTCGGGCTGGAGTGCAGTGGTACCATCTCAGCTCACTGCAACCTCTGCCTCCCGAGTAGCTGGGACCACAGGTGTGCGCTAGCTTGCCGGGCTAATTTTTGTATTTTTAGTAAAGACAGGGTTTCACCATGTTGGCCAGGCTGGTCTTGAACTCCTGACCTCAGGTGATTTGCCTGGCTCAGCCTCCCAAAGTGCTGTGATTACAGGCATTAGCCACTGTGCCCACCCCCAACTCTAATTTTATTTGCTTACTACTTTTCTTTCAGTGGATTCTCTTTTTCATTTAACTAAGTATATTTAAATAGGAAAACTTCTTATTACTATTCAAATGGAAAACCAGCATTGCTTGCCATAAACAGAGGCATAAATAAAAATAACCTCAAATACAATGAAAACACAATGGTATTGCTGTTTTCTAATGAGACGGATGGGCCCACTGAAGGTGCAAATCTGGGGCCTGCTCTCTTAGCTGCAAGTGGGATTAGGCTGTGTAAGAGAGGTTCTAAGGCCACAGAGGCACCGACCTGAGACTTCCTCTCTGGCTATTCACTAAAAGAGGGGTAACTTTTTTTTTTTTTTGAGACGAAGTCTTGCTCTATTGCCCAGGCTGGAGTGAAGTGGTGCAATCTTGGCTCACTGCAAGCTCCACCTCCTGGGTTCACACCATTCTCCTGCCTCAGCTTCCCGAGTAGCTGGGATTATACGCACATGCCACCACACCTGGGGAATTTTTGTATTTTTAGTAGAGATGGAGTTTTGCCATGTTGGCCAAGCTGGCCTTGAACTTCTGACTTCAGGTGATCCTCCTGCCTCAGCCTCCCAAAGTGCAGGAATTACAGGCGTGAGCCGCCACGCCTGACTGGGAGTAACATTCTTATTCTAGGTTATCTTTTGCTTTGTCTGTACCATCAAAGAACATCTCCTGTCCTCCCCAGTCTCTGGGAGCCCCACACTTGGGGAAATGTTTCCGGGGATGTGTTGACACAGGGGGCTGACCCAGCTGTGCTACAGCATATGATTATTCTAGATGCTACAGACAAGGTAATAAGAAGCTGGAGTAAGAACATTACTTCCATTTTATTTTATTTTTTATTATTTTGTGAGACAGGGTCTCGCTCTGTCGCCGAGGCTGGAGTGTAGTAGGTGCGATCTTGACTCACTATAGGCTCGACCTCCCAGGTTCAAGCTATCCTCCAACCTCAGCCTCCCAAGTAGGTGGAATACTGTGACCAGCTGAGTTTTGTATTTTTGTAGAGGTGGGATTTTGCTATGTTGCTGAGGCTGCTCTTGAACTTAAGGGATCCTTCCACCTCAGTCTTCCAAAGTGCTGGGATTACAGGCATGAGCAACTGTGCCTGGCTCCCCTTACATTTTTAACAACTTCTCCAGTCCTGCTCATCCTCTTCTCCAGAGGATTTAGGGTTCGATCCATCAAACTATAGAGTAAGTGTAAGCAATTTAACAGAGTGCTGTATTTTCTCATAAAGGCCATTTGAAAAAAAGCACATATTGGCTGGGTGTGGTGGCTCATGCCTGTAATCCCAGCACTTTGGGAGGTCAAGGCCAGCAGATCTCCTGAGATCAGGTGTTCGAGAGCAGCCTGGCCAACATAGTGAAACCCCGTCTCTACTAAAAATACAAAAATTAGCCAGGTGTGGTGGCAGGGGCCTGTAATTTCCCTAGCTACTCAGGGGGCTGAGAAGGAGAATGGCTGAAACCTGGGAGGCAGAGGTTGCAGTGAGACAAGATCAACACCACTGTACTCCCAGCGCGGGTGACAGGGTGAGACTCCAATCTCAGGAAAAAAAAAAGAAAAAGAAAGAAAAGGAAAAAGCGCATATATAATTAATTATTTCAAAATCCCCCGCTTCCCCTCTTTTTGGGGGTGTATCCCTCCTGCTTGCTGTGCCCACACCTGTGCCCAGCATCTACTGGGGTAACCCCTAGGTGTGGGGAGAAGGAGGAATACCAGCCAGCCTCTCAGTATCCTCTGACTTGGACGTGGGGCAGACCGGCCCTGCAGTCCCTGAGTGGGGTGATGGAAGCCAAGGTAGGGCCATGCCAGGCCCCTGGAGAGGACCCGATTCTCAGAATGGGGACATAGTAACAGGGCCTCTCAGAGGTCCAGAGTCAGGCTAGCTGATGATTGGGGGCCCCTGCCATGTACAAGAACAAGGACATACCCAAGCCAGGTACCCAAATAGGGAGTCAGCACCACTACCGCAGGTCCCTGTTACCTTGGATGGGAGGGACCCCGCCAATCATGCTCATTCTGATTGCCTCTTCACAGAATGTGGAAGGCAGCCGGGGCCCAGGTGACTTGCGCCTATAATTCCCAGCACTTAGGAAGAGCTCAGGAGTTCGGACCAGGCCTGAGCTGATCACCTGAGCTCAGGAGTTCGAGGACCAACCTGGGCAAACATGGGTAAGACCTCATCTCTCAAAATTACAAAAATTAGCTGAGCATGGTGGTGTGCGTCTGTGGTCCAGCTACTCGGGAGCTGCTGGGAGGATCACTTGATCCTGGGAGACAGAGTTTGCAGTGAGCTGCGATTGTGCCCACGCCACTCCAGCTGGGTGACAGAGTGAGACCCCTGTCTCAAAACAAAAAAAATAAATAATTTTTAAAAGAATGTGAGGACTTGGCGGGTGCTCACGCCTGTAATTCCCAGCAACTTTTGGGGGGCCAAGTGGGCAGATCAAGAGGTCAGAGATCAGACCATTCTGGCTAACATGATGAAACCCCATCCTTCTAAAAATACCAAAAAAATTAGCTGGGTGTGGTGGCCATTGTGCCTGTATTCCCCAGCTACTTAGAGGCTGAGGCAGGAGAAAGGCATGAACCTGGGAGGTGGAGCTGCAGTGAGCCGAGCCCAGCTACCTTGGGAGGCTGAGACAGGAGAATGACATGAACTCGGGAGGTGGAGCTTGGCAGTGAACTGGAGATATTGCGCCACTGGCAACTCCAGCCTGGGAGACAGAGCAAGACTCCGACTCAAAAAAAAAAAAAAAAAAAAATCTTTAAGAATGTGAGGACTTGTGCCTTCTGGCTCCTCCCCACATGCCTGGGAAGGCATGGTCACCCTAACTTGGGGTGGGGAAACTGAAGCTCAGAGTGGGGGAAGCAGCTGACTCAGGCTGTGCTAGGCCAGGTGCCAGGACTCTGGCTCCCCATGCCCTCTCTGGAGGCTGCCACTGCCTCAGCTCTTGGAGCTTTGGGCTTTGAGAGCTAGGAGAGCTGGGCTCCAGGCTGTGTAGGGGAGCTCCTATGGCTTCTGTGGTTTCTTTCATGGCTCCTGGGCTGGTGGCTGTGACCCTTAGAGGACCCCAGGCACCACGTTCTTGTACCCCCTGCATGGAGCTTTTCTGTGTGCCCCATTGGGAAGTGAAGCTATCAGAGCCCCCCTCCAAACATGCTTTCTGTGGTTTTCTTCAAGAACACAGCCAGACTACTGGGACCCGGCTTTTATCTCTCTCTGACTTTCTCCTCTCCTTCCTCTCCCCCAGTGCCTGCCACGAAAGAGCACCCGGAAGTGCAGGTGGAAGATACGGATGCTGATAGCTGCCCCCTCTTGGCAGAAAAGAATCCACCCTCACCCGTGTTGCTGCCACCATCTCCTGCCAAATCCGACACCCTCACAGTCCCAAGCTCAGCCTTGGGGACACACAGGTTACCTTTTATGCTTCTCTTGGGCTTTTCTCGGCACTATGCCACCTGTTTATCTGGCAGATGAAGAGACTGAGGCCAGAGGGAGAAGCAGCTGGACTAAAATCACACACAGCGAGTTGGTGTCAGAAGTGGGACTATGATGCCCCTTCCTGGTTTTCCTTACTCCTGGCTTAGGGCTCTTATAAAAGCTCTCATGGGAGGCCCTGTCCCAAATGCCCTCAGCTATAAGTTAGAAGGAATAATATAATAAATAATATAGTAATAGTGGGACATGGTGGCTCCTGCCTGTAGTGCCAGCACTTTGCGAGACTGAGGTAGGATTGTTTGAGGCCAGGAGTTTAAGACCAGCCTGGCCAACATAGTGAAACCCTGTCTTTCCTAAAAATGCAAAAAAAGTAGCTAGGCATAGTGGCACACTCTTGTAATCCCAGCTACTCGGGAGGCTGAGGCATGAGAATTGCTCGAGCCTGGGATGCAGAGGTTGCAGTGAACTGGGATGGTGCCATTGCACTGCAGCCTGGGCAACACAGCAAGAATCTGTCTCAAAAAATAATTTTAAAAATTTTTTTAAATAAATAAATAACATAGTAATATATAATAAATGTTACAGAATTGATTTCTACCTCCTCATTTTATTTTATTTCATCTTCGACAGGATGCTATTAAAACTTGCATATGATTATAACTCACCAAGTCTTTTTTAAAAAAAAAACTCTTAAATTTTAAGTGTACAGTACAGTATTGTTACCTATATGCACATTATTTTACAGCAGATCTCTAGAATTTTTCATCTTGCATGACTGAAACTCTATACCCATTGAACAGCAACTCCCCATTCTTCCCTTCACCCCTGCCCCAGCCCCTGGCAGCCACCATTCTACTTTTTCATTTTACTTTCTGTTTCTATGAGCTTGACTACTTTAGATATCTCATATATGTGGAATCATGCAGTATTTATCTTTTTGGGACTAGCTTATTTCTCTTGGCACAATGTCCTTAAGATTCATCCACATTGTAGCATGTGACAGGATTTTCTTCCTTTTTAAGGCTGAGTAATATCCGATTGTATGGATATACCACATTTTCTTTTCTTTCTTCTTTTCTTTTCTCCTTCCTTCCCCCTCCCCCTCCCCCTCCTCTTCCCCGTCTCTCTCCCCTCCCCTCCCTTCCTCTCCCTTCCCTCCCGTCCCCTGCTTTCTTCCTTTCAGACAAGATCTCCCTCTGTCACCCAGGTTGGAGTGCAGTGGTATGATATTGGCCTACTGCAGCCTCAACCTCCTAGGCTCAAGCATTTCCCCCTTCTCAGCCTCTCAAGTAGCTGGGACTACAGGCACGTGCCACCACCCAGCTAATTTTTATTTTTTGTAGAGATGGGGTCCTAGTATGTTGACAAAGGCTGGTCTCAAACTCCTGAGCTCAAGCAATCCACCTGCCTTAGCCTCCCAAAGTGCTGGAATTACAACCCAGCCCACATTTTCTTTCTTTATCTGTTGATGGACATTTATATTGTTTCCATCTCTTGGCCATTGTGAATAGTGTTACAATGAACATGGGAGTGCAAATATCTCTTTGAGATCCTGATTTTGATTATTTTGGATAAACACCCAGAAGAGGGATTGCTGGATCATATGGCAGTCCTATTTATGATATTTTGAGGAACCACCATGCTGTTTTCCACAGTGACTATACTATTTTTCCTATTTCTCTACATACTCGTCAATGCTTGTTATTTTCTGATTTCTTTTTTTTTTTTTTTGGATCACGGATATCTTAACAGATGTGAGATGGTATCTCATTATGGTTTTAATTTGTATTTCCCTGATTATATGGTTTGGCTCTGTGTCCCCACCCAAATCTCCTCTCGAAATGTAATCCCCATGTGTCAAGGGAGGGACCTGGTGGGAGGTGAATGGATCATGAACAGCATGGTTTTCCCCATGCTGTTCTCATGACAGTGAGTTCTCACGAGATCCAATGGTTTAAAACTGTGGCACTTCTGGCATTTAAAAATCTGTGGCTCCTCCCCATTTGCTCTCTCTCTCCTGCTCTGTCATGGGAAGATGTACCTGTTTCCCCTCTGCCTTCTGCCATGATTGTTTGTTTCCTAAGGCCTCCCAGTTATATTTCCTGTTAAGCCTACAGTACTGTGAGTCAATTAAACCTCTTTTCTTTATAAATTTAAAAGAAAAAGTCTCTCTCTCTCTCTCCCTCTCTCTCTCTCTCTCTCTCTGCTGTGTAAGATGTGCCTTGCTTCCCCTTTGCCTTCCTCCATGATTGTAAGTTTCCTGAGGCCTCCCCAGCCACGTGGAACTGTAAGTCACTTAAACTTCTTTCCTTTGTAAATTATCCAGGCTCAGGTAGTCCTTTGTAGCAGTGTAAAAATGGACTAATACACCCAACGATTAGTGATGTTGAGTAGCTTTTCATATTCCTGCTGGCCATTTGTATGTCTTCTTTGGAGAAATGTCTATTCGAGTTCTTTGCCTATTTTTTAGTTAGGTAATGTGTGTGTTTGTTTTCATATTAAGGTGTAGGAGTTTCTTTTATTTATCAAATATATAATTTTCAAAGATTTTCTCCCATTCTGCAGGCTTTCTTTTCACTCTGTTGTTTCTTTCTATGCAGAAGCTTTTTAGATGGAGATAATCCCACTTGTCTATGTTTTGCTTTTGTTACCTGTGCTTTCAGTGTCATCCACCCATTGTATTATTAGATAATATAATGTGGGCTGGGCACAGTGGCTCATGCCTATAATCCCAGCACTTTGGGAGGTGGAGGCAGATGGATCACCTGAGGTCAGGAGTTTGAGACCAGCCTGGTCAACATGGCAAAACCCCATCTCTACTAAAAAATACAAAAATTAACTGGGCATGGTGGCTCATGCCTGTAGTCCCAGCTACTAAGGAGGCTGAGGTAGGATAACTGCTTGAACCTGGGAGGCAGCAGTTGCAGTGAGCCAAGATCATGCCATTGAGACTCTGTCTCAAGAAAAAAAAAAAAAAGATAATAGATACTATAATGAAAACACCACAGAACACTAGAAAAATAATCATCTAAATCCCACCACCCAAGATGGTGTTTTTACTGCTCTGCATTCTCCTCTATGCCTTGGTTAGGCCCATGGTCTTGAAAGGTTTTAATTGGAGGAGGGATCCAGTTTACGGTGCTGTCTCATTCCACGAACCCTTTTCCATATTGCTGGGCTGTCTCCTTAATGCTCACTTATGATGGCTGCTGGGTATTCCTCCAGCTCCATGGGCTGGAATGAACTTAACAAATCTGCTCTTGTTGGGCCCTATCCATAATGGTACCATGATCACGTGTTTGGTCTTCTGCTCTCTACCCTTGGGTTCCTTTCTCAAGAGTGACACTCCTAGTCAAGGTGGTCCACATTTTGACACCTCTTCAGATAAATTTGTTGCTGAGTGGTTAGAGCTGCTTTCGAACAACTCAAGCCAGGTGCCTGGGAGAAGGCTCTGTGTGCAGCTGGAGGCAAACTGCCAAGGGCAGGACAGTGATTTTTAAGCTAAGGGGGGCTGTCTGCACCTCTTCTGCACTGGCTGGATGGAGCGATGGTTCTTTCTTCTTAGCTAACTTTTGCTCTCATCCATGAGCTCCTGAGTAATTGCTCAGCTGAGGTCAGAAGCCTGTCAGAATGGAGATGGCTAGGTGTAGCAAACTGAGGGCTGTGAGGTCTTAACGTAGAGAAAAGAGACACAGTTTCACTGGGCCTGGGAGTACAGCTCACAACTTCATCAGTTCTTATGTTTAGTTCACTGAATTATGTACAAAGCCCATTAGGGAATCCAGAAATGGCTCCACTTGTAGACGTCTGCTCTATTTACCCCTGTTCCCTTTATATGGGCAGGGAAACGACGCAGGCTGGGTTGGGTAGGGGGTGGCATATTTAGGGGAGAGAAGGGACCAAGATCATGTGGGGCTGAAATCCAAGCCTCTGTACTTCTGCTTGTGAGCTGAGTCTGTGAGGCTCCTCTTGTCCCTGTCATTCGTGCATTCACAAGCACGTACTGAACATCTGTATGTGCTGAACTCTGCCCTGGATGCTGGGGATACATGAGGGAGAAGCCTGGCAGGGGCCTGCCCTCATGGGGCTGACATTCTAGAGGGGCCAAGATAGACAATGAACAAGTAACCAAATAAACAAGCAAGTGCCAGGTTGAATGTGACTATGAGAAACGGGGCGGGAAACCTCTGCCTGAGCCCAACCCTGAGAGGTGAGAGTTCTGAGGCCTGCCTCTGTGGAGGCCGAGGCCAGTGGGGCTGACTCTGAGCAGGGACAGAATGAACATTGGGAGCAACTGACGAGGGCCAAAAAGCCACAGAGGAGCTTGGGCAAGGCCCTCCTTCCAGCTTCAGGCCATCGCTTGGAATGAATCCCAGAGCACCACTTGTAAGTGGGTCTTAAGGCAGGTCATTTAACCTCCCTAGGCCTCCACTTTCCTCATGTACGATGAGGAAAGACATACCACCTGGTTACTAGAATTGTGAGAATTTAACAGGCTACTGCACCCTAAGGTACTGAGCACAGGGCCAGACACAGGCAGTGCTGGGGGACCAGGAGCTGCGAGCTTAGGCCCTCATTCTGGCTTCTCTGGGGCAGCTTGCACTTTCGTGGTTTTTTTTGTTTTGTTTTGTTTTTTTTCGATGGAGTTTCGCTCTTGTTGCCTGTTGCCCAGGCGGGAATGCAATGGCATGTTCTCAGCTCACTACAATCTCTGACTCTCGAATTTAAGTGATTCTCCTACCTCAGCCTCCCAAGTAGCTGGGATTATAGGTGCCTACCACCATGCCTGGCTAATTTTTGTATTTTTAGTAGAGACAGGGTTTCACCATGTTGGCCAGGCTGGTCTTGAACTCCTGACCTCAGGTGATCTGCCCGCCTCAGCCTCCCAAAGTTGGGATTACAGGCATAAGCCGCAGTGTCCGGTGGCAGTGTGCACTTTCTAGGCTCAGGAGAGTGCCCTGTGCTGGGCACAGGAGGACTGACGTTGGGTCCCGGCAATGGGATTTTTGGCCCCAGTCTTCTTGTGTGGGGCTGTTCTTGTTAATTACAGTGTGAAAAAGTGAATCCATGAGTTTTGCCATCCTAGGTGAGTTGGCAGAAAGCAACAGGATCATTTCAGAGCCTTCTGGAATCAAGGTGGATGCCACACATCCCTCCCTCTGTATCCCCCTAGAAACCCTAGTGGTGGAATCCGGAGTCAAGGTGGTGAGGCTGGGGAAGAGCGCTGGCCTGGAGCCCTGGCAGACTCAGGTTTGGGTCCCAGTGGAGTGTTGCGTCTGCACGGTGATGGCTTCAGTGACCCCTGCCCCCAGCGTCCTCCTGCCCAACTCTGTGATTGGCCCTCAGGGGCTGGAGTAGGAACCTCTGCTGACGTGAGCTTCTTGGGAAGATGTGCAGATGCCAGCAGGTTTGGGCAGCTCAGGGCTTGGCCCCAGGCTGTGTTCCCAGAGAAGGAACCTGAGGGAGGCTCCTCCTCTGACTCTCCAGCTGGGGAAAGGGTGGAATTTGGGGACTGACTGGAGTTTTCAGCTTCTGCTGGGAGTTGCAGATTAATCACTTAAGATCCTTGTCAGGCTTGGTCCCAAGGTGAAGCTCCTTGCCTGTGAATTCCATTTCTGATCAAACCTCACGGAAGTGAAGGCCCTGGTCAAGTAATCATGGCCGGGCGCAGTAGCTCATGCCTGTAATCCCAGCACTTTGGGAGGCCAAGGCAGGTGGATCACCTGAGGTCAGGAGTTTGAGACCAGTGTGGCCAACATGGTGAAACCCCGTCTCTACTAAAAATACAAAATTAGCTGGGCATAGTGGTGCGTGCCTGTAATCTCAGCTACTCGAGAGGCTGAGGCAGGAGAATTGCTTGAACCCGGGAGGCAGAGGCGGAGGTTGCAGTGAGCCGAGATCGCACCACTGCACTCCAGCCTGGTTGACAGAGCGAGACTCTGTCTCAAATAAATAAGTAAGTAAGTAAGTAAATAAATAAATAAATAAAAGAGGTTTAATTGGCTCGTTGTTCCGCAGAGCGTACAGGCAGCATGGCAGTATCTACTTCTGGGGAGGCCTCAGGGAGCTTGCACTCGTGGTGGAAGGCAAAAGGAACAGGCTCTCACATGGCAGAAGCAGGACTGAGAGAGTGGAGAGGTGCCACACAGTTTTTAACAATCAGATCTCGTGAGAATTCACTCCCTATACAGTACCAAGGGGGGATGGTGCTAAACCATTCACGAGAACTCCACCCCTATGATCTAATCACCTCCGCCAAGCCCCACCTCCAACACTGCGGATTACAATTCAACATGAGATTTGGTGGGGTCACAAAGCCAGACCATATCAAGTCCTGAACTCTCATCTTCACGCTACTGACTGACTGATGCTCATCCTGATGAGCCAACACGTATGCTTTCATGTGTGACATGCATACCCATGTCCCCAGACTCTTGGTTTTGTGTGCTAACACTCAGCCTTCTGTGTTTTAAATGCTAATGGAAGTCATTGAGAATGACCATTCTTCTCTACCAGGACTTCATTCATGGACGTATGAAATGCTCTTCCTATTGGTAGATATTGGCCTGGGCAGCGTCCTCCAGATGCAATCTTTGTGTTTCTACATCAGCTAGTTCTACTCTATCTTAAACAGGATTCTTTCTCTAACAGTGGAGCTTGCTTTCTTGGTGGTATTAAGCAATTTGTCTCTCTTGATCTTTTTTCCTCTTTCCCAGGCTTTTGCGTTCCTCAGGAAACCAATTCATTCTCACTGCTGGGGTAGAAGGTGGGAAAATCCAGAGAGTTAGCCCCTAAGATGCCAATGTAAAATAGTATCAGAGGCACCTCTTCCACCTAGTCAGACGCCCAGGCTCTAACCTGCTGATGTCAGGCCAGAGGCAGGTTGGGCGCGAACCTTCTTGTCTCTGAAATTCAGGACAGATCCAGACACCACTAACCAAGGCACTAATGGCTCCAGAATGCAGCACTCCATGGCAGACTTGGACTTCCTGACTGATGGAGGACCCTGGGATCGTTTAGTCCTCATTCTTCAGATAGGGAGCCTGGGGCTCAGGAGGGGATGGGACTTACCCGAGGTCACACCGTAAGCTGGAGACTGGATTCCACGGCTTCTCTGATAGCTGAAAAGGTGGTGTGATAGAGAGTAGAGGGGAATGAGGTGGGTGACTTTAGACTGGGAGCAGGATGGGGGAAGGAAGTTTAAGCTGAGAACTAAGTGATAAGAATCTCATTTACTTGGGTAGATTTAATCCCATTTTACAGAGGAGGAAACTGAGGTAACTCAGAGTATTTTAGTAATTTGCTGAGGCCACACACTGGTAAGAGGCAGGACTGGGGTGCAATACGAAGTCAATGCTGTTACCTTTAGGCCAAGTCATTTAACAGATGGGAAGACTGAGGTCTAGAGAGTGGCTCTGCCCCTCTCTTCTGCCTTTTTCCCTCCCTCCAGGGAAATGAGGACTCAGAAGTTCATGCTCCACCTCCATCCTCTATCTGGGAATTGGCTCTAGGTGATCTTTAGGGATCAAAGTCATGACACTTTTCCCTGGGGCCTCTGCCCTTGCTGAAGGCCCCTTCCACATCTGTGTCTTTGCAGGAAGAAGCTGCCCTCTGAGGATGATGAGGCTGAAGAGCTTAAGGCGTTGTCACCAGCCGAGTCCCCAGTGGTTGCCTGGTCGGACCCCACCACCCCAAAGGACACTGAGTGAGACCCCTCTGGGGTCTCAGAAAGTTGAAAGACTTGGGGGAGGGTGAGGGATGTGGGGGGGCTAGTGTGGATGCTTTTAGAACCTTCCACTATAAGGCAGACTTTGCCAGTGGCTTCCCGGCAGTAAATCAGGATCGATCTCCTGCCCAGGCTGCTTCTGGCTGACCCAGGAGTCTTGTAAAATCCAGTGGGCTCAACCTCTGGGCCCAGGTGTGTCCATGGCCAGGAGTGCTCAGAGAGGGAGGGATCTCTAGGCAGAGGTCCCCTTGTGAAGGAGAGGCTGAGGGGAGCTGCCAGCAGGGCTCCTGCTGCTGAATTGTGAAAGGTCAGTGGGGACAGGGAGGACCACCAGGATCTCCAGTGGGTTCTGCCCTGGGGAGTTTGTGAAAAATGAAAAAAAAAAAAAGATTCCCTGGCCCTATCTGGCTGCACTGGATCAGAGCTGCAGACAGTGGGCCTGGGGAGTCCACATTTTCCGAACTCCCCAGGGGATGTGGTGCGGCTGGCCTGCAGAACAATGTTTAGAAACCACTATGATGACAGCTGGGCACAGTGGCTCATGCCTGTAATCCCAGCAGTTTGGGAGGCTGAGGTGGGCAGATCACCTGATGTCAGGAGTTCGAGACCAGCCTGACCAATATGGTGAAACCCTGTCTCTACTAAAAATGCAAAAATTAGCTGAGTGTGGTGGCACGTGCCTGTAATCCCAGCTACTTGGGAGGCTGAGACAGGAGAATTGCTTGAACTCAGGAGGTAGAGGTTGCAGTGAGTTGAGATCTCACTTCTGCACTCCAGCCTGGGTGACAAGAGCGAGACTCCATTAAAAAAAAAAAAAGGGGCTAGTGTGGATGCTTTTAGAACCTTCCCCTATAAGGCAGACTTTGCCAGTGGCTTCCCGGCAGTAAATCAGGATCGATCTCCTGCCCAGGCTGCTTCTGGCTGACCCAGGAGTCTTGTAAAATCCAGTGGGCTCAACCTCTGGGCCCAGGTGTGTCCATGGCCAGGAGTGCTCAGAGAGGGAGGGATCTCTAGGCAGAGGTCCCCTTGTGAAGGAGAGGCTGAGGGGAGCTGCCAGCAGGGCTCCTGCTGCTGAATTGTGAAAGGTCAGTGGGGACAGGGAGGACCACCAGGATCTCCAGTGGGTTCTGCCCTGGGGAGTTTGTGAAAAATGAAAAAAAAAAAAAGATTCCCTGGCCCTATCTGGCTGCACTGGATCAGAGCTGCAGACAGTGGGCCTGGGGAGTCCACATTTTCCGAACTCCCCAGGGGATGTGGTGCGGCTGGCCTGCAGAACAATGTTTAGAAACCACTATGATGACAGCTGGGCACAGTGGCTCATGCCTGTAATCCCAGCAGTTTGGGAGGCTGAGGTGGGCAGATCACCTGATGTCAGGAGTTCGAGACCAGCCTGACCAATATGGTGAAACCCTGTCTCTACTAAAAATGCAAAAATTAGCTGAGTGTGGTGGCACGTGCCTGTAATCCCAGCACTTTGGGAGGCCGAGGCAGGTGGATCACCTGAGGTCAGGAGTTCGAGACCAGCCTGGCCAACATGGTGAAACCCCCGTCTCCACTAAAACTACAAAAATTAGCCAGGGGTGGTGCCTTGTGCCTGTAATTCCAGCTACTCGGGAGGTTGAGGAAAGAGAATTGCTTGAACCCAGGAGGTGGAGGTTGCAGTGAGCCAAGATCATGCCACTGCACTCCAGCCTGGGTGACAGAGCGGGCGTGGTGGCTCATGCCTGTAATCCCAGCAGTTTGGGAGGCTGAGGTGGGCAGATCACCTGATGTCAGGAGTTCGAGACCAGCCTGACCAATATGGTGAAACCCTGTCTCTACTAAAAATGCAAAAATTAGCTGAGTGTGGTGGCACGTGCCTGTAATTCCAGCTGCTCGGGAGGTTGAGGAAAGAGAATTGCTTGAACCCAGGAGGTGAATGTTGAATGAGCCGAGATCGTACCATTGCATGCCAGCTGGGCGACAAGAGTGAAACTTCATCTCAAAAAAAAAAAAAAAAAAAAAAAAAAAGAGCCACACACTTGTTTTCTCCAGCCCTGCTTCCTCAGTTGAGCTCAAAAAGAGTAGTCGACTGCAGTTTCTGTGTCTTAATGTATGAAAAAAAAAAGATAAAAAAGATATTCAGCTCAGCAAGATGATCTCAGTGAGGCCACTCAGAGGAAAGAAAGCACATTCACAGGCCTGCTTCAGTGCACCCAGGGTACACACCCCACACTAAGCTGAATGCTAGGCAGACTCATTCATTCTCTGTCTCGCTCTGTTTCTCACTCTCTCTCACTGACAGTGCAGAAACTTTAATTCCTGTAAGTTAAAGGGATATAGAATGTATCTGTACTGCTTTTTCCAGCAGTTATATCCTAAGCCTAAAAAAGTAGGCCTGCTCCCTCTCTGTTCTGCCCCTGGACACGTATCTCATGTGAACCCTGCACTGGGATGAACAGCCCAATTTTGCTGAACTCTAAACTGAGTTCCAAGAGTCTCCTCCTAAATTACAAGTGGAGTCACGCGTTTTCCAGAACTGCCCATCTGAATCAGAGCCTACGTGGTACATTTTCCAAAAGCTGGGCCAGAACACCTGGGCATTATTCCCGGACTGAATTTCCTCCTAGGAGATTACAGTGGGTCTGTGGTTTCTGATGTCAGAAGGAGACAGGGGCAGGACTTACCTCCTTCAGGCTCTGCCAGAAGGTGGGACACAGACGCTGCACAGCTCTGGCCTGGGGGCGCAGGGGTCCCTCCCGGCTCAGCCTGCTCAGCTTTGGGTGATGTTCCCACAGCGGCCAGGACCGTGCGGCCTCCGCGGCCAGCACAAATAGCGCCATCATCAACGACCGGCTCCAGGAGCTGGTGAAGCTCTTCAAGGAGCGGACAGAGAAAGTGAAGGAGAAACTCATCGACCCTGACGTCACCTCTGATGAGGAGAGCCCCAAGCCCTGTGAGTCTGGAGCTGGAGGGGGCCTACTTGGCCGGGGATGGGGTGGGGCCTCCAAAATCCCCTGTCAACTCATGGCGAGGGTGGCCCCAAGAAAATGGTTGAGGTCCATGAGAGAAGCCCAGATCCCCACTCTCTGGATTTGGGGTCCGTAGGTTGAGATAGGTACCCAAGAGTGGGAAGATCAAAGTTCTGGCCAACAATCCACTTGCACTCGGTCCTCTCTCCCACGGGGAAGTGCCTTCCTTGACCCTTCCATCCCTTTCCTACTGGAAAGGTGCCACCCAAAATGTATCTTATGGTCTTACACTCAGATTGTGTGCACAGCCTGCTCTGGAACTAGGCAGTCTTATTTTTCAGAGATGTCAGTGCCTTGAAAGTTCTTATTGACGCTATCCGAATGTTTCTTTTCTTTCAAGGTATTGGGAGGAAGTAAGACACATGATCTCTTGTCAGGGAGATTTTTTAGATCTTTCCAGAGGAAGGCTGTATCTTGGAAATCATGGTGCCCACAACAGGCCATGCAGAGCCTGATGTCACAGTCTTGAAGCTAGAAAACATAGCCGTATTGAACCTATAAGAGCCAATCCCTGGGTCACCAAAAGTATCATCATAGATACACAGGGAGGCTGTGATCCCATCTGGTCTCTGTTTTTAGAGATGAAGGAGCTGAGATTCCATCTCAGAAACCTGGAGCAACACTTCCCTGATTTTGTTAGGCCCTTCAGCGTTCCAACCACGGGTACTGGAAACACTGGGTACAAAATGACTCCATCTCATCAGAGGGAACTAAGGGGGTCTATGCATAGACACACAAGCAGACACTGAAACATCCAACTGGCCCAGAAACAACTCGTTTGGGTCAGCTTCTGAGAAGCAGTTCCAGCTTGGTAGTTGGTAAGAGTTTCTGGGTGGGCACCCGGGTTGCTGTTACTGTTGAGGAGGGAGTTATGGAGTTCACTCCAGGAGAGCGACTTGGATTCTGCACACAGAGCTTGCAGCAGCTTGCATAATGGTGCCAGGGTCCCCTCAGCTCTGGATCCAGGGTCTGCAGTTGGGACCCTTCTCTCTGCATCCTGTATGTGGGCCTCAGGGTTGGTTCAGATAGTCACCAATGTCATCCCACAGCCCCAGCCAAGAAAGCCCCAGAGCCAGCTCCAGCCATGAAGCCCGCAGAAGCCGAGCCAGTGGAAGAGGAGCACTATTGCGACATGCTCTGCTGCAAGTTCAAACGCCGCCCCTGGAAGAAGTACCAGTTTCCCCAGAGCATTGACCCACTGACCAGTGAGTCCTGGGGAATGGGTGTTCCCACTGTGTAACATGAGAGGGCAGGAGAGTGGGAGCGGGATGGGAAGAGGGTCAGGGGATTCAAGAGGTGGGATGGGAAGTCACAGATGACCTGGGTTCATGACCTTTTATACTTTTCAAAACCATTCCACAGTTTCTTGCCTGATTCTCAAAATAAACCCAGCCTGGCCAACATGATGAAACCCTGCCTCTATTAAAGACAGAAAAATTAGCTGGGTGTGGTGGTGCACACCTGTAATCCCAGCTACTCAGGAGGCTGAAACAGGAGAATCATTTGAACCGAGGAGGTGGAGATTGCACTGAGCCAAGATCACACCATTGCACTCCAACCTAGGTGAAAGAGTGAGACTCTGTCTTAAAAACAACAACAACAAAAGTCCCTGGAATAGGAACATAAGATCACACCCATCTTACAGATGAGGAAACTAAGGCACAGAGAAGTCAGCAAGGGTAAAGATGCAACTACTTAGTGCAGACCCAGGACTCCTGACTCTTGGCCAAGTCCTTTTTTCACTCTGGTCGTGCTGGCCTTTTCCTGCTCTGAACAGAAAAAGGGCAGGAGTGTGAATTCCTATTGCTTCCCTTTAAGCCCACTTCATATTCCTCAGAAATAACACCACTTCATACGTGCGTAGCACTTTAGAGTTCACAGCGGACTCCCTGCCTTTCTTATCTGACCTTTTCCTGTGATTTCTCAGAAGAGGGCAGGTGCCAGAGAGGGACTTTCTCAAGGTCACACATTTGGGGGACAGGACTTCAACCCTGGTGTCCACTGGATTTCTCAAATGACCTGGTGGGCTGCGTGCAGTGGCTCAAACCTGTAATCCTGGCACTGTGAGAGGCTGTAGTGAAAGAATTGCTTGAGCCCAGGAGTTCAAGATCAGCCTGGGCAACATAGTGAGACCTCATCTCTACAAAAATAATAAACAAATAAACAAATAGCCAACCAGATGATCTGGAATACCCATCCATCCATGCATGCATTCACCTGTCTGTCCATCTATCTGTCCATCCTTCATGCATTATTTATTATTCTGTATTTACTAAGGCAGAAAATACATTTTGGGAAAAAATTAAAGGAGAATGAAAACAAAGAAGAATGAAAGTTTTCTAGTTGGCTGCCTATTATCTTATAATACCAGCATATTCCCTCCTGAGAGTATTTGATTTATTAGGGCTTAGCAGTGATTTATTTTTAAAGCAGATAGTTGTTTTTTTTTTTTTAAAGTAGAGATAGGGTCTTGCTATGTTGTCCAGGCTGGTCTTAAACTGCTGGGCTCAAGCAATCCTCCCACCTGGGCCTCCCAAAGTGCTGGGATTATAGGCATGAGCCACTATGCCTGGCCCCTAAAGCAGAGAGTTATATATACATATATATGTATATACATATATACACATATATACGTATATATACACACACACACACATAGACACACACACACACTCTTACAAAAGTGCCACATGTAGTAGTTGACGGAAAGTGTGGAAATGTAGAAAGAACAAAGCCCCACCTGATTCAACTGGTGAAGAGCCTTGCCTGGCTGATCCTCCAGCGGCCCTGTCCATTTTCCCCACAGACCTGATGTATATCCTATGGCTGTTCTTCGTGGTAATGGCCTGGAATTGGAACTGTTGGCTGATTCCCGTGCGCTGGGCCTTCCCCTACCAGACCCCGGACAACATCCACCTCTGGCTGCTGATGGATTACCTGTGTGACCTCATCTACTTCCTGGACATCACCGTGTTCCAGATACGCCTGCAGTTTGTCAGAGGCGGGGACATCATTGTGAGTCACAGGCAGGTGGTGTTGGGGTGACTGGGGGCAGACCCCTCAGCCAGAGCCTTCAGGGCACTGACCCCTGATGCTGTCGTAGATGACAAAATAAGCAAATAAGGAAATCTCAAGAATGGCTGCAGTGCTTGTTCAACAGCATGGTTGTTTATTTTGCACGCCTTTGATATGTTCAAATTACACACATCACATATTGCTCATAGGTGAAATAGTTCCTGGACCACTTGACGGAATCAAAGATAGAGAAGTGGTCCAGAGAATGGTCTTTAGTGACGATGTACCTGGTTTGAATCCCACCTCCACCACAGTTAGCTGAATCGCCTCTGTTTCCTCATCTGTAGAATGGGGATAGTAATAGCTTCCACCTCCCAATGTTGCCATGAGGATTGGTTGAAACGATGCATGCAGGGCGCTCAGCACAGGTAACCGCTGGCAATTGACTTCTCCCGAGGGTCCTGCAAAGAACACACTGATGCTCTCCTACTTGGGCCAGTTTGAGACCCTGGCCTCTGGTCCAGCCCCGCGCACCACCCCCGCCTTACTAGGGAGGAAACTGAGGCCCTGACTGTGACTTCTCAGGAACAGGAGACACAGTCCCTGTCTCCCAGTATGGGTCACTTTCCAAAATTCCACCCCGGAAATGCCTGTTTTGCTGTGTGCAGACGAGCTGAGGTTTTGCCTCTCAACAATTTTCCTTGGAGAGATTTAAGGGGAGTAAAGTAAAAAGTAAAGAGATTTCCTTGGAGAACCTCTTTTCTGGCCTGATCAGAGTGGTTACCAATTCCTCAGAAAACAGATGTGCAAATGGCCCAGGTAAGACCAGTCGGCAGAGAGAATAAGCTTAATGTCCTCGATTTCCACCCAAGAAATCAGGATCTAGCTCGGTGACCAGAACAAATCTCTCCTCCCTGAGGGCCGGGCCTCTCCACCTATAAAACTCAAGGCTTTCACCAAGGCTCAGAGGGTCCTCGAGCTGTTATGCTCATTTGAGGGTGGGGTTCTTCGGGAAATTTCACAATTGCTCCCCACAGGGTGAGGGATTAAGCTCTAAGGCCATTTCACCATCATTATTCCCTTTCTTTCAGACGGACAAAAAGGACATGCGAAATAACTACCTGAAGTCTCGCCGCTTCAAGGTGAGTGCCGGGAATGCAAGTTTCAGAAGGGGGAGCCTCAGAGGGCCCTGGGGGGCTCATGAGATGTGGTTTCTGCCACACGGAGGGATGCTGGTCCCTCTGGGAGTGTCCTCCAAGCCACAAGCCCCAGGAGACCAGCACGGGCTGGGTGGCCCCCAGAAGCTACCTTTCTTTTTTCTTTTTCTTTTTCTTTTTCTTTTTTTTTTTTGAGACAGAGTCTAACTCTGTCTCCCAGGCTAGAGTTCAGTGGTGTGATCTCAGCTCACTGCAACCTCTGCCTCCTGGTTCAAGCGCTCCTCCTGCCTCAGCCTCCCTAGGTTCTGGGATTACAGGTGTGCACCACCACACCCAGCTAATTTTTGTATTTTTAGAAGAGACAGAGTTTCACTGTGTTGGGCAGTCTGGTCTCAAACTCCTGATGTCAAGTGATCTGCCCGCTTTGGCCTCCCAAAGTGCTGGGATTACAGGCATAAGCCATCGCACTTGGCCAGAAGCCACCTTTCATTGTGTCTGTACCACTCCCGCTCCTACTGTACGGCACAGCAGCCACTATCGGGGATGATGAAACTGCCCTTGGGGCTGGCAACATGGGCTTTGAAGCAAACAAAGGCTTGTTGGTGGGACACCTTCTGCCCTCTAGTTTGAAGCTCTCCTGGGGCATTCTAACCTCACCTTTCCACGGAAGGGAGAGACTCCGCCTCTCCCCTCACCCTCAACCCTGGGGTCACCCGTTTTTACCCCCGTGGTGTCCCATGGGGATTTCAGATGGACCTGCTCAGCCTCCTGCCCTTGGATTTTCTCTATTTGAAAGTCGGCGTGAACCCCCTCCTCCGCCTGCCCCGCTGTTTAAAGGTAGGACTGCTGGGCCCCCCTCCCCAGGCCTTCAGCTCATCCCTGCTCTGCACCAGCACTGGCATCTTCCTGTCTGCCCCCAGCAGCACTGGGGAGGGAGCATCCTTGAGGGATGGCCCGAGGGGAGATGCGTTTATTCCATGTGTGTCTCAGTGGAAAGTTCATTACAATTGCTAGTGCTTGGTGGTGCTGCATGTTAGATAGTGTTATTGCCAGCGTTTTGCAAATGAAGGGACTGGGGCACAGAGAGATTAAGTAATTGGCCCAAAGTCACAGAGCCAGGAGGGAGTGGAGCCCGAATTCGAATGCAGGTCATCCGACTCCACTGTTTATGCTTTCGGTGATTATAGACACTCTCAAGAGGGGGTTTCTGCTTTATGATGGTCTCTGTCTAAAAAATGGGGGCATTGGTGCTTGGAGAGGCACGCCTAGGTCGCAGGAGCAAGGAAGTGCCAGGGATGGATTTGAATGCACAGCCAGACACCCGTTTCATCATTGGCCAGGCCTCAGTGTCATTACAGCCATTCCTTCTGCCACTCACTGGACAGAGCCAAAGTCTCCAGGATGGTCTGGCTGCCACAGCTGGCCATGGTCCTGTCATGTGACCAGGGTAGATAGCCACTCAGAACATTCAGGATCCCCCAAATGGATTTTGGTAGCCAACCAATCACATTCATCTCTCTCCTGAAATGATGCTTGGTGCCTTTTTCTGAAAACAGTACTGAGGGAATTTACCTAAAAAAGGCAAATGCAATACCATGAACAACTCAGAGAAACAGGGCAGAGAAAACTAGGGGGCATGCAAGTGCCCTGATGAAAAGAAAGCACACCTATGTGGAATCGAGCATGGAAACTGCCTCTGAGCTTCCTGGCTGCCAAGAGGAAGGGGGAAAGTGGAATTGGCACCATTCTTATTTGACACATACCAGCCTTCCAGGGACTGCAGAGGTTGCTTTAGAGCCAAACATCAGAGTGAGGAAGGTTGGGTCCACAGGCCAAGTTTCACCCCAGATGTAGAGGTGAGATCCATATCTTGGTTCACATGGTGGCCCCAGTGAGGGGGCATAACTCACAGGCCTAACATTGAACACCCCTCAGTGGACAAAACTCTTTGAGTGAGCCATCCAAGCCCCTGTTCTTTCTGCCTCCAGCTTAAACTGTGGCTGGAATTAGAATGAACACATGGATGATAATTGGAATATCCCTTAGGGAATCTTCATAAATACTGTTTTCAAATATCAAAAAATAAATGCAAAGATCTAGAGGTGGTATAGCATAAGGAAAGAGCTTGCAGCTTTGAGTCTGGCCTGGGTTTGAATGCTGACTCTCTCACATACCAGCTGTGTGCTTTGGACAAGTTATTGGACTTCCCTGAGTACCAACTTCTGTCAAAGGAGAATGATAATACATCCTTCATATGTAAATAAGGAATAAGGTAATGTATATAATTGTATATGCTGGCTGGGTGCGGTGGCTCATGCTCGTAATATCAGCACTTTAGGAGGCTGAGGCAGGAGGATCACTTGAGCCTAGAAATTTGAGACCAACCTGGGTAACACAGTGAGACCCTGTCTCTACAAAAAATTTAAAAATTACCCAAGAGTGGTGATGTGTGCCCTGTAGTCCCAGCTACTTAGGAGGCTGAGGCTGAAAAATCGCTTGAGCCCAGAAGTTCGAGGCTGCAGTTATCTATGATCGCACCACTGCACTCCAGCCTGAATGACAGAGTGAGACTCTGTCTCTAAAAATAAAAAAATAAAAAAGGCATATGCCAGTCATATAGTAGGTGCTCAATAAAGAAAAGTAGTTATTAATATACTTTTATTATTATAAATAAACCTTTGAAGGATATAAGAGTGGGGTGTTAGGGATGCTGTCTCTTTATTAAATTGTTTTCTTTATAAGAAACATTAAAAACAGCATCTTTAACCTGGATGCATATACCCCTAAAAGTCTCATGATAGGGCTCAGAGCATCCGGGAGTCCCCTGAAATTATATGCAAATTGTGAGAACAAGATTACATGTCATTTCCAAGGGAAGACGGGCTATGACTTTCTTCAGATTCCTAAATGGAGTTTCTGGCCCCTACCCGTCAAGGGGTGGAGGATTTCTGATTTTGAATGCTCACCGTCCTGTTCCCTCCTCCTGTGGGCTGCAGGAAGAGCCCTGAGTCCTGGCACCCGTGGGCGTGGGAGCAGCACGCTACCCGCAGGTGGTGGGCTGCTCTCATGCCCTGCTCTCCCTCCAGTACATGGCCTTCTTCGAGTTTAACAACCGCCTGGAATCCATCCTCAGCAAAGCCTACGTGTACAGGTGAGACTCCCCCTGCGTGTGTGTGCATGCACACACACACAACACTCACAACCACACACAACCACACGACAGCACACACGACAGCACACACGACACACGCACAACACACACAACACAACACACATGACACACATAAACACACACACAACACACACAGGCACACAACACACACAACACAACACACATGACACACATACACAACACACACAGGCACACAACACACACAACACAACACACAACGCACACACACAATACACATAACACACAACACATACATACACGCACAACACACACACAACAGATATATGACACACACAACACAACACAAACAACATACATGACACAACACATACAGTGCACATACACACAACACACACAATGCACACACACGACACAAATGACACACACAATGCACACACACACACACAACAGAGGAAGTTTGTACCTAGAGAACAGGCAGCAAGGCATTGTCTACCCCCACTGACCTCCAGGCCCCATCTCCACTGGAAGCCAGGCGTCTTTCTGGTCCCGCCTCCTCTTTCCCAGAGAAATGTTTGTTATTTAGAGAACCAGGCATATCCCATACCCCTCATTGTGATGAGGGCACGCATCGGCTGGCACGAGCGGCTTACCAGCATTGCAGTGAGCTGGGCCTCATTTTGGCCTCAGTTCAGGGAACTGGAGCCCCCAGTCAGCTCTAACAGAACGGGAACAGCTGTAAGGTGGCGGTGGCTGTTTTACAGATGTCTGAGGATGAGGCGCAAGACCAGCCAGGTCGTGCTAGGGAGCAAGGCTCCTGTCCACATCTCTCCTGGCGCGACATGGCCCCATCTTCAACTCAACTTCTCTGCACACATCAGTCCCTCCCTGCTCTTCCTCCAACACACATTTCCCCCCTGGCCCCTCCACTCCCCCAGTGCACAGTCAGCTCTGCTACCTCTGTGCCAATTCTAGCCCCAGGTCGTTACAACGCCCCATTCAAGCACCACCCTTCCTAACTGGCACAATCTCAACAAAGCATCCAGTCGGGCCAGCCCACCCATGGGTTGGCTTCCATTGGCCAGGTGTCTATCCCTCACCGTCCCCTTCCACCACTGTGTTAATGTGCTACGTTCCTTCTGCAGGGTCATCAGGACCACAGCCTACCTTCTCTACAGCCTGCACTTGAATTCCTGTCTTTATTACTGGGCATCGGCCTATGAGGGCCTCGGTTCCACTCACTGGGTTTACGATGGCGTGGGAAACAGGTGAGCCACAGTCATCCCCCAAGGGCCATGCCTGGGGGACCTTCCTGTTCTTTATAATTCACAGCACAGAGACTCCGGGAAGGAGTCTTATTGCTGCTGTATTGCCAAGGCCACTTTGCTCCTAAGCAATCACTGGCATGACAAGGCTCAAGAGCCACGTCTTGGGCCGGTTGCGGTGGCTCACAAAACTTTGGGAGGCTGAGGCAGGTGGATCACCTGATACCAGGAGTTAGAGACCAGCCTGGCCAACATGGTAAAACCCCATCTCTACTAAAAATACAAAAATTAGCTGGGCGTGGTGATGCATGCCTGTAATCCCAGCTACTGGGAAGGCTGAGGCAGGATAATCTCTTGAACCCAGGAGGCGGAGGTTGCAATGAGCTGAGATCATGCCATTGCATTCCAGCCTGAGCGACAAAAGCAAAACTCCGTTTCAAAAAAAAAAAAAAAACCATAAACAAACAAACAAACAAATGGAAAAAGAGCCAGGTCACCACGTCTTCCCTAAGCTAAGGTTTCCTGAGCAACTACATGTGTCAGACCGGAGGTACTGGTGTGAACAAGACTTGCTAGACAGAACCTTTCCGCATCCAAATTCTAGTAGGGTGTGCAAATACATTGTATGTGTGCGTCTACTCCTGCTTCCCCGGGCACGGCCAAGAGGGAACGAGGCCAGAGAATACTCCCCAGCACAGCTCCCCAGGCACTGCTACCATGGAGGCACTGGCAGACAAGGTGAGACCCACTTGCCAATCAGAGAGCCGTCATTCATTATGAGACTTGCCAAAGGGATGATGATGACGTGTGAACCAAAAAGTATCTGGCACAAGTTTCAATCAATTTAGAAAGTGTATTTTACCAAAGTTAAGGACACACCCATGGTACAGCCTCAGCGGTTCCTGATGACATGTGTCCAAGGTGGTCGGGGTGCAGCTTGCTTTTATACATTTTAGGGGGACAGAATACATCAATCAATACATGTAAGGGCGGGACAACTCAAAGGGAGGAGTGGCTTCCAGGGCATACGTAGATTTTAAAAGTCTCTGCTTGAAAAAAACAAAACAAAACAAAACAAACAAACAAAAAAGGCCGGGCTTGGTGGCTCACACCTGTAATCCCAACACTTTGGGAGGCCAAGGCAGGCAGATCACCTGAGATCAGGAGTTTGAGACCAGCCTGACCCACACAGCGAAATCTCATCTCTACTAAAAATACAAAAATTAGCCAGGCGTTGTGGCAGCACCTGTAGTCTCAGTTACTCAGGAGGCGGAGGCACAAGAATCGCTTGAACCTGGGAGGTGGAGGTTGTGGTGAGATGAAATTGCGCCATTGCACTCCAGCCTGGGTGACAGAGCAAGACTCTGTCTCAAAATAATAATAATAATAATAATAATAAATAAAAATTCCCTGCTTAGCAATTGGTTGAAAGAGTTATCAGTAGAAAGAAATGTCTGGGTTATGATAAGGGGTTGTGGTGAGCTAGGTATTTTCATGCAGATGAAGCCTCTAAGTAGTGGGCTTTAGAGAAAAGAAACTATAATGTTTCTTACCAGACTTAAGGTCTGTGTTGATGTTAACGCTGGAGGAGTATAATGAGGCGTGTCCGATCCCCTCTTCCTTCATGGCCTGAATTAGGTTTTCAGATAACTCCGGAAAGCCCTTGGCCAAGAGGAGGGGTCTGTTCCGATGGTTGGGGGCCTTATAATTTATTTTTGGTTTACAATGGTGATGATGGTGACAATGATGATGATAATAGCAGCAAGGCTTGTAGGATACCTATTTCGTGCCAGCCCTATTTAAAGCACTGAATACAGTAACTCACAACCATCACATCAGATAGGTACTGCACCATCCCCATTTTACAGATGAGGTAGCAGATGCGAGTCACACGGTTCATGAGTTGCAGAGCTGGGATTTGAACCCAGGTGTCATGGCCACAGAGTCCTAACTGCCTCAATGAAAAGGAAAAGTGCCAATCTGGTGGCCAGAGGGAGCGGGGGAGGTGGGCATGAGCACTGTCAATTTCACCAAAAGTCATCAAAAGTTACAAACATTTAAAAAAGATTTTTTAGCCAGGTACAGTGACTCATGCCTGTAATCTCAGCGCTTTGGGAGGCCAAGGTGGGCAGATCACCTGAGGCCAAGAATTTGAGAGTAGCCTAGTTGACATGGCAAAACCACATCTCTACTAAAAATACAAAAATTAGCCAGGCATGGTGGTGCACGCCTGTAATCCCAGCTACTTGGGAGGCTGAGGCAGGAGAAGAATCACTGGAACCTGGATCGGGGAGGTTGCAGTGAGCCAAAATTATGTCACTGTACTCCAGCCTGGGCAACAGAGAGCAAGACTCCGTCTCAAAAAAAAAAAAAAGTTTAAAAATTATTTTAATGAACAGACTTAATTTTTTAAAAAGTGGCTTGAAGTTTATAGAGAGGTCCATTGGAAAGTAGACAGAGTTCTCACATATATGCCACCTCCATTATTATTATTATTGTTATTATTTTTTGAGACAGGGTCTGCTCTCTGTTGCTCAGACTGGAGTGCAGTGGCATGATCTCGGCTCATTGCAACCTACGCCTCCTGGGCTCAAGTGATCCCCCCACCTCAGCCTCCCGAGTAGCTGGGACCACAGGCACATGCCACTGCACCTAGCTAATTTTGTATTTTTTGGATATATGGAGTTCTAACATGTTGCCCAGGCTGGTCTCGGCTTCCTGAGTTCAAGCTATCTGCCTGCGATTGGCCTCCCAAAGTGCTAGGGTTACAGGTGTGCGCCTCATTTTAAGACTGGATGGTGTTAAAGATGACAGTCCCTCCCCTGCCCTGTCAAAAGCCTTAAGCAGGAGAGTGAGCAGAGGGAGGGGTCTTGGAAAGCCCACCCTGGCGCTGATGGGAGAGCGCACCGGGAGTGAGAGCAGGCAGCAGACAGCCAGCAAGGGGCGCTGCTGTGTCAGAGAGAGCTGCAAACCCTCCAGACCAACAGGTGGCTTGACCTAGGGGACGGAGGTCAGGGTGGGCAGGAGGGATGTGGGCAGGAGGGATGCGCACAGGATGGGGGCTGGGCCTGCAGAGTCAGAAGGGAGGCTTGAGGGATGAGGGATGAGGAGTCCCAAGCATGACTCCTAGAGCTGCCCCCTGGCAGCAGAGACAGGCCAGTTCTCTTTTCTGGGCCTCGGTTCCCTCACCTGCAAAATGGGGCTGCAAATGGGAGTCCCACCCTAAAGAGGTGACTGAGGAGTAGATGCCTCTGAGCCCCTGCCCCAGTGCCTGGGCACGGTGGGCGCTCAGTCAGCCACAGTGAGGATGAGAAGGTGGAAGAAGGAAAGGTCCAGTGGGGAGTTACTCACCGAAGGGTGTCCCACCTCACCCTGGGCTGTGCCCACTAGTGACACAAAATGCCCGTGGTCCAGCTGTCCACCCCCAGGCCTTTGCTCCCAGTTGGGAACAGGTGGGTCGCTTGCATTCAAGGTGGCGGCTTCGTAGAGTGGTTAATTGTACTGAACGTCTCCTGCCAGTATAGATGCCCTAACCTCAGCCACCATGGCTACAGCCGTCGCCTTCTGCCGTGAGCCCTGCCCTGAGGGGGAACCACACCTTTACAGAGATGTCCCAGGCTGATTTTGGTGGCTCATGTCTAATCCCAGCACTTTTGGAGGCTGAGGCAGGCAGACTGCTTGAGTTCACAAGTTCGAGACCAGCCTGGGCAATATGGCGAAACATCCCCTCTACAAAAAAATATAAATTTTAGCTGGGCATGGTGGTACATGCTTGTAATTCCAGCTACTCAAGAGGCTGAGATGGGAAGATCGCTCGAACCCGGGAGGTGGAGGTTGTAGTGAGCTGGGATCGCTGCACTCCAGCCTGGGCGGCAGAGCAAGACCTTGTCTTGAAAGAGATGTGCCAGAGGCCAGGGCAGCCCAGGCAGGCAGGAGGGGAGTCCCTGAGAGCCACTGTGGGGTGGAGAGTATCAGGGATGGGGTCAAGATCTAAAGCTTCCCCACGTCACCAGTGGCCCTGTTACCCGTTCCCATTCACAGCCCCGCTCCTGAGCCTTGACTAGGCCATGCATTCATTCACTTCCTCATTCATTTAACCCATCACAAGGAGGCAGAGGGGGACTTGAAGACTCTTTCTCTGCAAAGGGGAGAACACAATTTCTGCATGGAATTGAGCTCTGTGACCTTATCCTTTCTGAGACCCAGTGTTCCCACAGGCACAATGCGGGTATCTTACATCCAGATTTCTTATGAGAAATAATAAATAAATATGTGTGGCATGTCTAGCCTGGGCCTGAACAGGTGTCAGTGACCCCTGTGCCTAGCTATGGCTATTGTTACGGGGGAAGCCAGCATGGCAGGAAAGGAGTTAATAACCTGGGGTATAGAGCTTTTAGGGGGTCACAAACCCCCCGGACATCGGACCTAAAATTTGAGCATATGTTGGCTTTTCTAGGGAAACAGAGCTGGCTTTCTCTAGATTCTCAAAGGGGCTTGTGCCCCAATAAACTAAGAACTGTCCTCCCTGGGGCTAAGACTGGCACATCCGTCACTGGGCAGCTCGGGGAAGGGAGGGTAAGTAGAGCAGGGCGGGGGCGGGGCAGGGGGACAGCTGTCTGGGACCTCCTTCTGCAGGGCCCTCTGCCGGAGGAGCTCGAGCTGCCCAGCAGTGGGAAGGGCACGCTTCCTTGGCAGCAATACTCCTTCCCAAATGACATCCTGCAGGGAACCGCAACATGTGAGCCAAGTACGCGTAATGAAGGAGGATTCCTTAGAAATTCCAGTAGCATGAAGAATAACAACGTTTACAAAGCGAGCATTTGTAGAGTGCTTGCTGGGTGCCAGGGGCTCACGGGCCCGAGCTCCTACAAATGCTAGGCCCTGCATCCTGCCCTAGTGCTCTCCTGCCCCGTTTTGCCCAGCCTGAAGCACAGAGGGTCCCCACAGACCCAACAGCGTGGAAGACAAGGAGACTATGTGCCATGTCGTTGGAAGATTCCTCCAGCCGGGAACGGTTTGGGGTAAAGCCAGAGTTTTGTGGACATCGCGCCTATGTCCTCTCTCTGTTGGTGGCCCAGCGGCATAAGTACCCAGCTCCCGGACAGCCCAGGGGTCTGCAGAGTTGTGGGTGCTGCTCGTCCCGCTAAACGCTGCTTCGCGCGCCCTCTGATGGCCAGAACCAGTATGACGGGGGTTTGATCGGCCCGTTTTGGGTTCTGAAACTTGCAGGCAACAGGTGATGTGGAGATGCAGGGCGGCCCGCAGCCCTGCCCAAGGCCCCGCAGCTATCACAGGCAGAGCCTCTACCACACTCCCCAGCAACCTCTGCTTCCTCCTTCCTGCACGCATTGCACGTTACCTGCCTGTCCCCACAGTGGACCACGAGCTTCTTGAGGATATGGGCGAGTCTGTTCAGTTGCGTACGGCAGGCAACAGTGGCTGTGAAAGCTTTGACAGCTCCCTTGCTGAGAGTCCACCATGTGCCAGGCTGTCTTCTAGCATCTCATTTTGTCCTCATGGTCTTCTGTGAGGGACATTCTATTGCCATCCCCATCTTATGGAGAAGGAAACCGAGGCTTGGAGAGAGAGAAATTTGTCCAAGTTATGCAGCTAGAAGGTGGCTGAGCCCAGCCAGCCTGGTCCGGAGCCCGTGTTCTATCTAGGACGCTGCATAAATAGCTGGTGCAGGAAAGCCTGCGGGGACTGCCTGGTCTCTAGGCCCTTCTGACCTCACCTTTGCTGACCCAGGGGAGGGCTCAGCCTGAGGGGTGGACAGGTGTCAGAGGGACCCTTGCTGCCCTGTGATAATCACACACAAGCTTGGTGGCTTCATGCCTTTTGAGCCGCTATAGTAAAATACATGAGACTGGGTAACTTATAAAGAATAGAAACTTACTTTTCACTGCTCTGGAAGCTGGGAAGTCCAAGATCAAGGTTCTGGCGTCTGGTGAGGGCTGCTCTCTGCTTCTAAGACAGTGTCTTGAATGCCACAGTGTCCACTAGAGGAGAGGAACACTGTCCTCATATGGCAGAAGGCAGAAGGGCCAAAGGATGTGGAAATCTTCCACCAGAACCTTTTGTAACAGCTTTAATCTATTCATGAGGGCAAAGCCCTGGAGGCCTAAACAGCGCCCAAAGGCCCTACCTCCCGACACCATTGCACTGGGAATTAAGTTTCCAGTACCTGAATTTCGGGGGACACATTCAGACTAGAGCACTCAGGGCATTTCCTATGCTTTTTACCACACAGTAGAACCGCCTCCCCCATACCTCCCTTCCAGAAGGTTCACAAGCCTGTGTCAGAGGGTTAACTGCTGGTGGATGACATCTCAGAGAAGCAGACAGCGCCCAACTCTTGCACTTACCAACTAGTGACCATGGGTGTGCCCTTTCCCTTTGGGGGCCTCAGTTTCACTATCTGGAGAATGGATGGGCTGGGGAGGGGTGGGTCAGAAAAAGTCATCCTCAAGATATCTTCCAAACTTGATGTTGCTTTTGCTTTTCATAAGCCAACATGGCAGGTGACAGCAAATGAAAAGACTGGAAATTGAAGGAACACTGAAGGAAATTAAGGGAGCGCAGTCATTAGGAGTTGGAAGACCCTGGTCTGGCCTCCTGCTAACTCTTCCTGGAAATCCCCTAGAGCCTCAGTTTCCACGTCTGTAAATGGGGATGGCAACATATCCCTAGAGACACAACCACACCTAATAGTATTCGTGAACCTGCTCTGCAAATGGCAACGTGCTCTATGCGTGCAGGAGGTGGTTTTTCTTGCATAGATGAGCTGTAACGGGTTTCTGTCTTTTGCACAACGTGTATCTATCAGAGGCGTCTGAGCCAGACCACTCAGGGGTGGCAGAGTGGGGCCTATGATGACCCATGTTCCCTTTCTCCTCTCTCTCCAGTTATATTCGCTGTTACTACTTTGCTGTGAAGACCCTCATCACCATCGGGGGGCTGCCTGACCCCAAGACACTCTTTGAAATTGTCTTCCAGCTGCTGAATTATTTCACGGGTGTCTTTGCTTTCTCTGTGATGATTGGACAGGTATCGGGGCACCAGCCCGGCTTCCCACCCCACCTGACTGCAGGGCCCCCTCCCACTGTTGCGAGAAATGTCACCCTCTGCGCCCGTTCCTTTTGGATTAAGCCTGGGAAAGAGCACTGGACTGAGAGTCGGGGGCCTGGCGCACTGTGCTGTGTGCAGTGGAGGGGGTGGTGGTGAACTCGGCCCTATTCCCTCTCTGAGGTTGTTCTCATTTGAAATGTCCGTTCCTCTGGGTGCACTGGGCTGAATGGTCTTCTACAGAGACTGAGGGAGAAACCCCTGGTGTAGCTGGTGTGTGCCGGGGCAGCATCTTACATTCTGGTCGAGACACGAGGTGACAGTCAGAGGTCCTCAACGTTACCTTTAAAGGGCCCCGCCCCGAAGGAACAGCACGCTGGCTTCCTATTTCCTCCAACATGGAGTCAAAGTGGCCGCCGTCACCGAGGGACTGTGTTGTACCAGAATCAGCCCAGCCCAAGGAGCTTTCCCCACTGGTGTGGTCCCAGGGACCTGAGGCCACGAAGGGGCTGGCAGTCTCCCTCCCTTCCTCTTCCCCACATCCATGCAGGAGGCAGAACTTCCCGTCAGTAAAACTTTCTCTGTATGAGGACATCTGCTTTCCCTGCTCCCAGTGCCCCGCCAGGAGCACATGCCCCTGGTCTGTGTGAAGTGACACATCCCAAACCCATGGAGTAGCCCCCACTCCCATGACCCAGTGGCTTCCTTGACCTCCCCTAACCTTTCCCCCTAGATGAGAGATGTGGTAGGGGCCGCCACCGCGGGACAGACCTACTACCGCAGCTGCATGGACAGCACGGTGAAGTACATGAACTTCTACAAGATCCCCAAGGCCGTGCAGAACCGCGTCAAGACCTGGTACGAGTACACCTGGCACTCGCAAGGCATGCTGGGTAAGATGGTCACACCCTGACAGCCACCAGCTCCCAGCCAACTCCTGTTGCCTGGTGCCCGGTGCCCTGCCTTCAGGGCACCTCCCTTGTCCTCTGTGTCTCTGAGGCCCTGAGTACTGGGGCCTCTTTTGGCTGTGTCCCCAACCTTGGTGTGAGAGGGGCCCAGTGGGTCCCCTGAAATGCCTCTAGCAGGGCTGTCATGTGATCCCTGGAGACTTGGGGGGCTTGTCTTCTGTGTGCCTGCCCCCCTCGCTTCACCCACCTTGAAATGCATCCCCATGCAAGAGTGAAATGCAGGCCAGGCGCGGTGGCTCAAGCCTGTAATCCCAGCACTTTGGGAAGCCGAGATGGGCAGATCACAAGGTCAGGAGATCGAGACCATCCTGGCTAACCCGGTGAAACCCTGTCTCTACTAAAAAATACAAAAAAATAGCTGGGTGAGGTGGCGGGCACCTGTAGTCCCAGCTACTCGGGAGGCTGAGGCAGGAGAATGGCGTAAACCCAGGAGGCGGAGCTTGCAGTGAGCTGCAGATCCGGCCGCACCTGGCACTCCAGCCTGGGTGACAGACGCGAGGAACTCCGTCTCAAAAAAAAAAAAAATGAAATGCAGTGTGTTGTGTGTGTGGTGTGTTTATTTATTTATTTGACATGGAGTCTCATTCTGTCACCCAGGCTGGAGTGTGAGTGGAGCAACTCTCGCTCACTGCAACCTCCATCTCCCAGGTTCAAGCGATTCTCCCTATTCAGCCTCCCAAGTAGCTGGGATTACAGGCATGTGCCACCATGCCAGCTCATTTTTATATTATTAATAGAGACGGGCTTTCACCATGTTGGCCAGGCTGGTCTCGAACTCCTGACCTCAGGTGATTCACCAGCCTCAGGCTCCCAAAGTGCTAGGATTACAGGTGTGAGGCGAAGTGCAGTTTAAATTAAAAAAAAAGAAGAAGAAGAAGAAGAAGAAGGACCTCTGTCCTTCCTCCCTCCTTCCTCTCTCTCCTCCCCTCTCTCTTCCTCCTCTGTCCTCTCTTTCTCTCAAGGACATTGCACGCCCCCATGACGGGCGCAGCAGGCTTAAGCCCTGGATATCCAGGGGCAGCTCTAGCTACACAGCCAGGTTGGGGTCCTGAGTTCATCCCCCTGAGCTACAAGACTACGGGCATGTCACTGCCATTTCCTCATCTATAAAGTCGGATTATAGTGGGCAACTCTTGGGTGCCTAGGGGATTTAGTAAAATAATTTTCCTTTAATCCCAGCACTTTGGGAGGCTGAGGCGGGAGGATCACTTGACCCATGAGTTCAAGACAGCCTGGCTACATGACAAACCCCATCTCTACAAAAAGTCAAAAATTTAGCTGGGCGTGTTGGTGTATCCCTGTAGTCCAGCTACTCAAGAGCTGAGCTGGAGGGTCGCTTGAGTCTGAGGAAATTGAGGCTGCACTGAATTGTGACTGTGGCCACTGCACTGCACTCCACTCTAGCCTAAGTGACAGAGCAAGGCCCTGTCTCAGAAAATAAAAATAAGTCCATGTGCGGTGGCTCATGCCTGGTATCCCCAGCGCTTTGGGGAGGCTGGGTGGGTGGATTGCTTGAGCCCAGGAGTTTTTAGACCAACTTGAGGACATAGTGAGACCTTATTTCTAAGAAAAAAATTTTTTTAGCTCTCAGGTTCAAGTATTAAAAACATTTTATTTTAATAAAACTAAAAACTAAGATAATCTTTATAAACACCCTATTAAAAAGTGCCTGGTTTTGGCTGGGTGTGGTGGCTCACTCCTATAATCCAGCACTTTGGGGGCTCAGGTGGGTGGATCACCTGAGGTCAGGGAGTTGGAGACCAGCCTGGCCAACTGGCGAAACCCCGTTTCTACTAAAAATACAAAAATTAGCCAGCCTGGTGGTGGGCACCTGTAGTCCCAGCAACTTGGGAGGCTGAGGCAGGAGAATTGCTTGAACTAGGGAGGTGGAGGTTGTAGTGAACTGAGATCATGCCACTGTACTCCAGCCTGGGCGACAGAGAGAGACTCTGTCTTAAAAAAAAAAAAAAAAAAAAAAATGGTGCCTGGCTCACTGGCTCCATAGAAGTGCTCCAGAGACTTTAGTTCTTGCTGATGTTGTCCTTACAGGGCACGGGGAACACAGGTGACCGATAATTGCAACAGTGCAGGGGCTACTAACATAGTAACTGAGTGGGGGATGTCAAGGGAAGGCTTCCAGGAGGAGGTGACATTAGTGCTGGGTTCTGAAGAATGAGTAGGCGTTTGGGAAATGCACAGGGGTGCTCCTGGCAGAAGAAACAGTATTGGCAAAGGCTGGAGTTGAGAGAGGGCACTCTACAAATCTAGAGTGGTTCCTTATGGCAGGGCAACGGTGTGCTCTGATAAGCCGGTAGGTGGGCACTTGGCCCGTATGTGTGCCTGGGGTGGGGCCTGGCCTTGCCTCTAACCCTTGCCAGGCCTTGTTCATAGATGAGTCAGAGCTGATGGTGCAGCTTCCAGACAAGATGCGGCTGGACCTCGCCATCGACGTGAACTACAACATCGTTAGCAAAGTCGCACTCTTTCAGGTACACCCTTTGGTGCCCTCACCCTCAGGGCTGTGGGAGGCTCCAAACCCAATCTTCTCTAAACAGCGTTCCTTTCCCTTCCTCACTGGGACAGGGCTGTGACCGGCAGATGATCTTTGACATGCTGAAGAGGCTTCGCTCTGTTGTCTACCTGCCCAATGACTATGTGTGCAAGAAGGTGAGCTGGCCCGGCAGCCACTGCTGGATCTGGGGTTCACGATCCCCCTGGCTTTCAAGGAGCTGAGCTGGAGGGGAACCTGCCAGCCCAGGGCAGAGTGAGATTGTTGGGGAGGGAGAGGAGTGTCTGCGGCTTTGTGCTGCAGTGACCTGACCAGATCCAAGAGCAGGAGCGGATTAGGAGGCTTTGCCAGTTCTATGCAATCAGCACACATGTGCCTCTGGCTTTGCAAAGCATTTCCTCAGCTCCATTGACACAGGACCATGGGGTCCAGGACAAAGACCCCCGCGCCCTACAGAAAGAGAAGCCGCGGAGCCTGAAGAGGGGCAGGGCCTTGACTGTGTAGCTGGAACTGCTTCTGCGGTCTCCGTCTTCCCATCAGGAAAATGGGGCAGGAGAAGGGGTGGGCTTAGGTCAGAGGTTGCAAACTGGTGGCCTTTGGGTAAGATCCAGCACACAGGTATTCTGTGGGTTTTTTTTTCTTTATAATTTTAAGAAAATGTAGAATTGGTCCCCAACCTTTAAAAATTTGAAGATTTCATATAAAAATTCAGATTTCTGGCTGAAAAGAGACAATCTGCCAGCACTGGATCCACTTCCTAAATGGCAAGAGCCAGCTGGGGTGGAGGAAAGGTTGCCCCAAAGGGGGACATTGTGTCCCTTCCTGATGCCACAGCTCCCACCGCTCCCCACTGCCCCACCCTAGAACCCCCTCCCTGCTCAGCTTCACCCTCTGATCCCAGAAAACGTCTGGGGTTGAATCCTGGGGTCTAACAATGTCTAGAGCCCTTTCTGCTCCCTGTCCTTGGGGTTCAAGGTGAGATCAAGGTACTTGGTGAGTGAGGGGAGGGATCAGGAACCCAGGTTTCAGTCTTCTTGTCCAGAGCTGTTAATAAGCCTGGGTGTGCGTACAGGGGGGAAAACATTACCCAAGCAGGCTCTGCAAGACTTGGGCACCCCTGTCCCCAAGAAGGTCCCTGTCTCCAGGTTATATGCTGTGCAGCAGTGAAATTTCTGGAAGCAGAGAGCCAGGGTGAAGAGGGGAAAAGGATGCTTCAGAGGGCTGAGGATGTAAAGCTGCAACCTTAGGGGCCAAGAGGGGTCTGGGAACAATAGAGTGACTTGCCTGACATTGGAGTCACTTTCTGGCTGTGCAGCCTTGGGCAAGTGGCTTGCCCTCTCTGAGTCCTGCTCATCTCGTGGATAAAGTGTGGGATGTTGATAGTACCTCCCTCATGGGGTGGTTGTGAGGGCTGAATAAGATGCGCATACAGAGCTTAACACTGTGCCTGCCACACAGCAGGTGCCAGTGCTGTTGCTGTTATCTTCGTGGGTGATGCAGAGTTTGCTTCAAATGAGAAAAAGTGAATCTAAAGTCTGATTGCAAATTAAATTGAGCACTTGGTGAGCACGTGTGAAGGGCGCCCTCTGCTGTCTGGTTTTGCTCTGCAGCGATCTCTCTGAGACACCCTGGGCGCTGGTTAGTGAGGTGAAGGTCCCCTCACCCTTTCACTCTTGTCAAACTAAACAGAAACAGGGAGGCAAACCTCTCTTCCTTTTTGTTAAGGAGGTCATGCATGTGTGAAAAGCGCAGGAATTTTCTGTCAAATAAGTCAAAAGTGTGACAGTTACTGCCCTTGGTCACTTCCCGGACCCCTTATTTATTTATTTATTTGTTTGTTTATTTGAGACCAAGTCCTACTCTTTCGCCCAGGGTGGAGTGCAGTGGCACTGTCTCAGCTCACTGCAACTTCCACCTCCCGGGTTCAAGCAATTCTCCTACCTCAGCCTCCCGAGTAGCTGGGATTACAGGCATGTGCCACCACACCCGGCTCATTTTTTTAGTTTTAGTAAACACAGGGTTTCACCATGTTGGCCAGGCTGGTTTCGAACTCCTGACTTCAGGTGATGTGCCCACCTCGGCCTCCCAAAGTGCTGGGATTACAGGCGTGAGCCACCGCACCCGGTCCCCTTTTTAATTATTATTATTATTATTTTCTATAGACCTCCTCTTCCCCTTTTAAACACATGTGACTCACAGGTAGCTGGCCAGGGCAAGGCCCGTGAAGGCATGAGGATTGGAAGGCGCGTGGCAGACTAGGTGTTTCTAATTATAGTCCAAAGCAAGCTATTCATTCATGCATGCATTTGGTTTGTCTTGGGATTAAGGCCATTGTATGCATTTGCCAGGCTGCCACGGGACACTGCACAACACCACAAGCTGGGTGGCCTCTCTCCTTGGCTTGTAGGTGGCCATCTCGGTTTTTTTGTGTGTGTGCTCCTCACATCCTCTTGTCTCTATGCCTGTCTTTGTGTCCACATTTCCATTAGGACACCAGTCCTATTGGATTAGGTCTAGAAGGACCTCATCTTTAGGAATTACATCTGCAATGACCCTATTCCCAAATAAGGTCACATGCTGAGACGCTGGGGATGAGGATTTCAACATAGAATTTAGGAGGGGTACAGAATTCAACCCACAACAACCATGAACTCTGGAACCAGATTGTCTGGGTGCAGATCCCAGCTCTTGGGCAAAGAGTGCTCTCACCTCCGAGGGTTGTTGAGGTTAAGTAGTACACCGCATAAAGCAATCTGGGGCTGGGCATGGTGGCTCACGCCTGTAATCCCAGCACTTTGGGAGGCTAAGGCAGGCAGATCACTTGAGGCCAGGAGTTCGAGACCAGCCTGGCCAACGTGGCGAAACCCTGTCTCTACTAAAAAATACAAAAATTAGCCGGGCGCGGTGGCACATGCCTGTAATCTCAGCTACTTGGGAGGCCGAAGTATGATGCCTGTAATCATAGCTACTTGGGAGGCTGAGAATTGCTTGAACCCAGGAGGCGGAGGTTGCAGTGAGCCGAGATCATGCCACTGCGCTCCAACCTGGGCGACAGAGTGATTCCATCTCAGAAAAAAAAAAGAAAAGGCAATTTGAATACTATCATTATTGTTATTCCCATTCCTGTTGCAGTTAGCAAATGCTTCCTGAGCCCCTGAAATATGCCAGGTGTAGATATCATTTGATGGTGGGAACTGCTATCTGATTTACCCTGCCTCCATCAGTGAGTCTAACTGGAAATTTGCAGAATTCCATTATACCTGCACCTCCCAGGTTAGCTGGCACTTCCCATTCCAGGACATCACTAACTTCCCCACTGCAACCCTATCAGTTATGCAGGACATAGGGTAGTCACTCCTCCAAGTCTACAGATGAGGAGACTGAGGCCCAAGCGGGAAGTGACTGCCCCCATACAACACGCCAAGTTGTGGTGGCAGGGCTGGACACCAGTGCCTAGGTTCCTCCTTGCGGGACCTCCAGCCTCTGGATCCAACCCTGGCTCTTCTCTGGTGACATTGGAGGATGAACAGAGGGACTTGTCCCTTCTCTGTTTCAGGGGGAGATCGGCCGTGAGATGTACATCATCCAGGCAGGGCAAGTGCAGGTCTTGGGCGGCCCTGATGGGAAATCTGTGCTGGTGACGCTGAAAGCTGGATCTGTGTTTGGAGAAATAAGGTCAGAGGCAGCTGGGGTAAAGTGAGGGGCCTGTGGCAGGCGCTGGGAAAGGAGGCGGCCAGCGGGCAGTGAGAGTGTCTATGGCTTGGCAGATGCAGCACTGGCACCTGCTGATGTATGCGGGGATGGGGGTGGGGGAAGGCTCTCATCTGTGTGGGGCCACCACTGTGCTCCACACATGGGAAAGAAAGATCTGAATGTGACCAAAACCACAGTCTCTGAAGGGTCTCCTTCCTCCCTTTTCTGCCCCAGCTTGCTGGCTGTTGGGGGTGGGAACCGGCGCACGGCCAACGTGGTGGCCCATGGGTTTACCAACCTCTTCATCCTGGATAAGAAGGACCTGAATGAGATTTTGGTGCATTATCCTGAGTCTCAGAAGTTACTCCGGAAGAAAGCCAGGTATGTAACTTTTCTTTCATTTAATAGAAAATTGCTAAGGACAATGAATTTCTCTTACGTAACCACAGTACCTTTATTTTTTATTTATTTATTTTTTGAGATGACGTCTTGCTCTGTCACCCAGGCTGGAGTACATTGGAGTGATGATGACTCACTACAGCCTCAACCTCCTGGGTTCAAATGATCCTCCTGCCTCAGCTTCCCATGTAGCTGGGACTATAGGCATATACCACCATGCCCTGCTAATTTTTAAAATTTTTTCTAGAGCTGGGGTCTCACTATATTGCCCAGGCTGGTATCAAACTCCTGGGCTCACATGATCTGCTCTGACCTCCCAAAGTGCTGGGATTACAGGTGTGAGCCACTGCACCATTAAAATAAGGAAATTTCGTATTGAAACAACACTATTATCTCATTCATAATCCATCTTCAGATTTTGCTAATTCTTCAAGAATATCCTTTGTACCTTTTCTTCTTTTCCATGCCTGAATCAAGTCTAGGATCACATATTGTAATTAAGGTGCAGAGTATTCTTAGTCTTCCTTGATCTGGGATAGTTCTTCAGGCTTTTCCAACCTTTAGTGACTTGGATGTCTTTTGAGCATACAGGCCAGTTATTTTTTATTTGTTTATTTATTTTTTTTGAGACAGAGTCTTGCTCTGTTCCCCAGGCTGGAGTGCCGTGGCACAATCTCAGCTCAGTGTAACCTCTGCCTCCTGGATTCAAGCAATTCTCCTGCCTCAGCCTCCTGAGTAGCTGGGATTACAGGCACATGCCACCACGCCTGGCTGATTTTTGTATTTTTAGTAGAGACGGGGTTTCACCATGTTGGTCAGGCTGGTCTCAAACTCCTGACCTCGTGATCCACCCACCTCAGCCTCCCAAAGTGCTGTGATTACAGGCATGAGCCACCACACCTGGCCCATACAGGCCAGTTATTTTATAGAATGCCCCTCAGTTGGGGTTTGTCTGATGGTTTTCTCGTGATTACCATTAGAGTCTGCATTTCTGGCAGGAAGAACTCGGAAGTGATGTCGCTTCTGCAGCAAATGTATTGAGAGGCACATGATGCCGATTACTCCCAATATCGATTATTTTCACTTTGATTACTTGGTTAAGGTTTCTGTACTATGAACCTATTTTCCCTTAAACCTAATTCCTAAGTAATTAGTGGGGAGTCACCTTCAGACTATGAGGATATCCTGTTCCCCATCAAACTTTTACCCACCACTTTTAGCATCCTTTGATGGTTCCTCTCTATGATAGTTACAAAGAGATTGCTATGATAGTTGTAAAATGGTAATTTTGTAACTCCACTCCTTCCTTGATTATTAACTCGCGGTCAGCTGTATGGAAGAGCTTTTTCTTCTCTCCCACTTGTTTATTCATTTCTCAATGTATATCGGCATGGATTTACTTGATTCCATGAACACTCTGTTAACAATTATTATTTTGATGCTCAAATTGGTCCAATTTGGCCCTGGGCACTTTTTCAAGGTGGCTCATTTGTGACCTTTGTGATATCCCTGTCATATTTGAGCACTTCCTTGCTTACTCAAGTAACAGTAAGCCACAACCAGATGCCCTGGTTCATCTTGTACATCCCTTGTGGTATCCTGGAAATGGCAGTTTTCTCCAAGGAGCCTTGATTCCTTTTACTGCGGGATGGTTTTTAGAAACCAAGATCTGAGTCGTAGGAGCACTCATTGCTACTGGAGTGCTACAGGCCTCTGCAGCAGATGGAACCAAGAAACACACCCACGTACACACCAGGATGTGTAAATACAAATATATTTATATAAAAAACATATATAATATCTATATATAAAATACACACACACATATACATATATATGCCAACATCAATTTTTCTGTTTTTCTACTGATTGATCTATCTATAAAACAATTTCAATCCAGCACCACAGAATTAATTATTTTTTAATTTTAATTTAATTTAATTTTTTGAGACAGAGTTTCACTCTTGTCACCCAGGCTGGAGTGCAGTGGCAGTGGCGCCATCTCAGCTCATTGCAACCTCTGCTGGGATTAAAGGCATGTGCCACCACACCTGCCTAATTTTTGTATTTTCAGCAGAGATGGGGTTTCACCATGTTGGCTAGACTGGTCTCGAATTCCTGACCTCAGGTGATCTGCCTGCCTCGGCCTCCCAAAGTTGCTGAGATTATAGGTGTGAGCCACTGTGCCCTGCTACCACATATTAGAATTCATTCTAATATTCTCCCTTTTCATACTTGTAAATCTCTTCTCCAACACTGAGCAGTACAGAGAAGTTCATTTCAGAATTTCCAGCCCATGTCACTGTAAAAACAAAGAGTAAGGCTTCTAGGTAGAGTTCAGTACTGGATGCAGCTCTTCTGTCTTTAGCCCGAGTATATATGATGTAAGTGCTATGTTTAAAGTTATCTGGAGTCCTTCTCTTCCTCCCCTACCCTTTAATGTGGTCACTTTATTCATCTGAAATACAGGTAGGTTCACTTATTTCAGTTTACATTCCATTTAGGGCTCCTGCCACCCTGATCTTTGTTGACTTTTTCTTGTTTTAAGTATGTAGAACATTAACATGTTCCTGAAGGTCAGCACTCTGCAAAATGGGGCACTCAGAAAAGCGTCCCAACTCTCCCTGTCCCCATTGCCCCCTGACTGCAACCCCCATTATTACGTGATTCGTTGCATCAATTTCTGCCTTTTCTTTCCTCTGCTTACTTTTGCAAAAATAGACAGATCCACAAACATTTTCTTTTTTCTTTTTTGAGATCAAGTCTCGTTCTGTAGCCCAGGCTGGAGTGCAGTGGTTTGATCTTGGCTCACTGCAACCTCCACCTCCCAGATTTCAAGCGATTCTCCTGCCTCAGCCTCCTGAGTAGCTGGGATTACAGGCATCCACCACCATGCCTGGCTAATTTTTGTATTTTTAGTAGAGATGGAGTTTTGCCATGTTGTCCAGGCTTGTCTCGAACTCCTGACCTCAGGTGATCTGCCTGCCTCTGCCTCCCAAAATTCTGGCATTACAAGTGTGAGCCATCACGCCCAGCCCAAACATTTTCTTATTTCTTCTTTCTTACTCAAAATGTGGCATGCTGTAGATTCTTGTTGTACTTTACTTTGTTTCCACATGACGACCAAACCCGGAAATCATCGTCTATCAGTGCAGAGTCAGTTTCCTCATTCCTTTCCACAGTGGCAGAACATTCCTGTAAATGGGCATTTAGGGTATTTCCAAAATTTTGCAATTACAAACAGTGGTGCAATGAATAACTGTGTGCATCTGTATTTTGCATTGTTGGGGAACACGTCATTCTTTTTAGAAAAGCCAGTTTTTGTTTTCAAACCCTTAAGATCAGGTTTCAAATTGAGCGACAGGCATCGTGGTGTGGCAGGAACCCCACAATAGGTCTGGGATGCTGGCGGGGCTCAGGTCCCTTCCATGTGAGGTGCTGGCTGTGTGACTTTGAGGAAGTTGTTTAACTTTTCTGGTCTCAGTTGTCTCCTATGTAAAATAAAGGTCATAACCCCTACTTTGCTGCTGTAATTTTTTTTTTTTTTTTTGAGATGGACTCTTGCTCTGTTGCCCAGGCTGGAGTGCAGTGGCACAATCCTGGCTCACTGTAACCTCCGCCTTCTGGGTTTAAGCGATTCGATTCTCCTGCCTCAGCCTCCCCAGTAGCTGGGACTACAGGCATGTGCTACCACACCCGGCTAATTTTTGTATTTTAAGTAGAAACGGGGTTTCACCATGTTGACCAGGCTGGTCTGGGACTCCTGACCTCAGGTGATCCACCCGCCTCGGCCTCCCAAAGTGCTGAGATTACAGGTGTGAGCCACTGTGCTTGGCCTGCTGCTGTGAAAATCAAATAGTGTATGGGAATGTCTCCGGTGGGGTGCCTGTCATGTCAGAGAGCTCAGTGCATGTTAATAACGATCACTTCAGGCCAGGTGCAGTGGCGCATGATTGTAATCGCAGCACTTTAGGAGGCTGAGGCGGGAGGATCACTTCAGCCCAGAAATTTAAGGTTAAAGTGAATTATGATCGTGCCACTGCACTCCAGCCTGGGTGATAGAGCAAGACCTTGTCTCTAAAATAAATAAGCAATTGTTCCTCTGTAGCCATCAAATTCACCTTATAATTTTTCAATTGGCTAAAACCTTTTTAATCCATATATCTGGGTTTTCCTCCTTGTCTTGTATCACATATTCTTATCTTCCACTTCATTCTATACAATGACACCAGAAATAAACTGCACAGAGAGTTGCCATAATAAAGGGAAGAAACTCACCAGCATCCATTCCTACAGCACAGTGATGTATCGAGTACACAGTGCTGAGTTCTGGGGACACAGCAAGGACCAAACAAAACTCACATTCTAGTCAGGGAACCAACAATGGAAAGATGAGTGATGATGTGATGTGTCTGGCTATGAGGAAACAAAGCCACGGGAGGAGCGGGAAGTGACGGAGTGTTGCCTGAGATAAGCTGGTTGGGGAAGCTGCTCTGAGCAGGTGGCATTTCAACAAGACCTGTACAAAGCAAAGGAGTGAGCTGGCGGACTGATGGCTGGGAACAGCATTCTGGGCAGAGGGAACAGCATGTGCAGAGGCTCTGAGGAGGAGCAGGCTTAGTGTGTGGGTGGCACAACAGCGAGAAAATTAGCATAGCTTGGTGTGGGATCAGAGGAGTGTAGGGGAAGAGATTGGGTCGGACCTCAGAGAGAGTTGGGAGCCACGGCGAGTTTTACACAGAGGAGTGACTTGAAGTTCCTTAGGTTTTCACAGGAGCCCTCTAGCAGCTTCAAGGTAAAACGAGGTAGTTTTGATGTCCAAGCATCATGCACACAAGACACTGAGGTCCCCTGGGGAAGGAAGCTGCCCCAAAACTCACCTGGTTGCTCTCAAGGAACCCACTGGGCCCTTCGAAAACCCAGGTCTATCTGAATTTCTCCCACCAAATCTCCCCACGTTCCCCACCACATCAGTGGTGCGTGCCAGCGCCTCCTCTCCTCAGGGACAGGGAGGTAGAGTGGACCCTTGTGATTCATGGACTCCATATTTGCAAATTTGCCTCCTCACTGAAATGGACTCGTAACGCCAAGATCAATACTAACAGGCTTTTGTGGTAATTCAAGGACATGCCCAGAGCAGCAAAATACTTGAGTCACCCCAAGTGCACGCTCCCTGCTGAAGTCCCAGTTCTGCCTTCTGGTTTCAGCTCTTGTACTGCAAACAGGTGTATTTTTATGGTCCATTTAATGCCACTTTTTTTTTTCATTTTTGTGCTTTTTGTTGGTGATTGCACTGTTTAAAATGGCCCCCAAGCATAGTGTTGAAGTGCCGTCTCGTGTTCCTAAGCACAAGAAGTCTGCAATGTCCCTTATGCAGTAAATATGAGTGTTAGATAAGTTTCATTCAGGCATGAATTACAGTGCTGTTGGCTGTGTGTTCAATGTTAATAAAACAACAATCTATATTTAATAAGATGTCTTTAGCCGGCACAGTGGCTCACGCCTGTAATCTCAGAACTTTGGGAGGCTGAGGCGGGCGGATCACCTGAGGTCAGGAGTTCGAGACCAGCCTGGCCAACATGGTGAAACCCCATCTCTACTAAAACTACAAAAATTGGCAAGGCGTGGTGGTGGGCACCTATAATCCCAGCTACCCGGGAGGCTGAGGCAGGAGAATAGCTTGAACCTGGGAGGCAGAGTTTGCAGTGAGCTGAGATCATGCCACTGTACTGCAGCCTGGGTGACAGAGTGAGACTCTGTCTCAAAATAATAATAATAATAGTAATAATAATATAATAATGTCTTTTAAAAGAAACACACATAAGACAAGTTTATTATTATTAATTTTAGAGACAGGGTTACACTCTTTCACCCAGGCTGGAGTACAGTGACATGATCATAGCTCACTGCAACCTCGAACTCCTGGGCTCAAGAGCTCTCCCGCCTTGGCCTCCCAGTGTTCTGGGACTGTGTGTGAGCCACCACGCCTGGCCAAGTTTATGTATTATGGTTGACGAATGTTGTGATGAGAGATTTGTAGGAATCTAGCCTTGTATTTCCCCTAGCAACAATGTTTCCGTATTTGCTAATTCGGTGTTCGCAGAGATCTCATAGGATATAATTACTACAAATCATGAGATTCAACTCTGCTTGTGGCTGAAAACTGGTGCCAGGTCTCCCCACCCTCTCTTCTTGCCCCCGCCCCCACCAGGAGGAACAAAGCTCAGGAAAGCCATGCTTTTAGCTGTTATCCCATCCTCCTGGGTGGGTTAGGCAAGAGTTTGGTAAATCAGATGGGACCCCAAAGGCCCTCCCAAGAGCCATGCAGAGGCCCCCATTCCTGACAGTGCCTGTGCACCTGTGTCCATACTGAGAAGGCTGAGGTGTGGGTGGGAGGCAGCCAGGCGAAGGAGTGGAGCTAACAGGCCTCACAGCAACATGGTGGGGCGTGGGATGGGGGGCCCAGCCATGAGTCATCAGAGTGGCTGTTTGCTGGCCAGGCCAGCTTGACCAGAGAGGCAGGGGATTGTGTGTGAGCTCTGCTCATCAGGGGAGATACACTATCTGAGAACCATAGTTCTGGGGACATCTGAGTTGGTGAGGGCCACGTGTGGGATTCTGTCCAAGCTCCCTGCTTTGCAGATGGGGGACCCGAGTCCCCAAAGAAGTGAAGTGCTCAGATCTCTGGCTTGACCACTCCAAGAAAGAGAATGAAGAGGTCTTATGTGGGTCACTTGCTCCAGGCTGATTGCTCAATCTCAGTTATAGGGAAGCATACATTATCAGAAAATGAGGACAAATTTCCCTAATCTGGAAATGCCCCAGAAGCCAGCTCAATGTTTCCAAACAGAGACAGCTATTAGCAATCAGCAAAGGTCCTATAAATAGTTATTTTGTTAGAAAGAAAAAGATAGTTCATTTTCACAGCACCCTCAGCCTTCCTGTGGGCTGTCACATCGTGAATTATGGACTCAAATAACATGGGGGACGGTGCCGAGCTGGCGCGTGTCAGAGGCGTCTGGTGAATTATCATGTTTGTGTTCTCCTGGGGGATCTCCAGCTAGAAATGCAAATCTTGGGCAATTAATATCAATATGCACCATTTAAACCCATTGCCTCTGATTAGATAAGCAGCCAGTAATGGCCTCATTTTTAAACAAACAAGTTTTGCTGGAGCCCTGATGAATGAATTTGCCAATTCATTGTCTAGGCCCGCTGGTTGCAGGCAGAATTCATTTGTTCTTGAGACAAACTGCTTACCACACGTTTGTAGTGTGAAAAATTCCCGGTAAAAAGGTAGGGCTCTCTTTGATGGAAAAATCTACCCTTATCTAGAGAAACAGGGGGGTACATACCATTAGATGTGGGTGGCAATTCTGCTTCTGCCACTTCCTGGTAACCTTGGGCACATCACTCCCCCTGTTCTGAGTCTCAATTTCCCCAACTGTCAGAGGCACAGTCATCTCAGCCCTTCCCATATCACAGGAGTATTTGTCAGTGTCCAGGAAGATAATGATGTAATGTCGCTTTGTAATCATTAATATCTGGGGCACCGGGGTCAGAAGTGTGGCTTTGAATTCTAGCTTTGCTGCTTCTTAGCTGTGTGGCCTTGGGAAAGTTACTCACCCCCTCTGAACTTCTATACCCTCATTTGGAAATGAGGATGAATAATAAGACCTACTTATGGGGATTGTTGTGAGACTTAAATGACAGAGTATGTATTAGCATAACAGTATTACCACAAATTTAACCGTTTAAAATCACACACATTCGCGATCTCAGTTTCTGTGGGTCAGAAGTCTGGACATGGCTTAGCTAGGTCCTCTGCAAGATTGTCATCAAGGTGTCTTCCAAGCAGGCTCTCATCTCAAGTCTGGATAGGGGAAGGACCCACTTCCAGGATCACATGGCTGTTGGTGTAATTCAGTTCCTTGGGGTTGTAGGACTGGGGCTCCAGTTCCAACTAGCAATTGGCCAGTGGCTGGCCTCAGGTGCTTGCCATGTGGACCTTCTCCAACACAGCTGGCTGCTCCCTACATCAAAGTCATCAAGGGAGGCCAGGCACCGTGGCTCATGTCTGTAATCCCAACACTTTGCGAGGCCATGGCAGGAGGATCGCTTGAGCCCAGGAGTTCAAGACCCGCGTGAGCAACACAGGGAGACCCCGTCTCTATTACTTAAAATAAAAATCAAATAAAAAATAAATAAAGTCAGCAAGGGAGAGTCCCCTTGCAAGACAGAGCTCTATCACAATCCTGTGTGATATATTCCACCAGTGATAGCCCTTGTTGTATTCTATTGGTTAAAAGCAAGACACATACCCCACTCATCCTCAAGGGAAGGGGACCACACAGAGGCGTGAACACCAGGAAGGGGGTAATAGGGGCCATTGAAGGGTGCCTGTAAAGGATGGAGCAGAGGGCCTGGCACATATAGACACTCAATACATGCTGATAATTGTGATGGTAACGATGGGGAGGTGACAGTGAAGCAGAAGGAGAAGGAAAGAGCTTTGGTTCCTTTTCCACCTGGGCATCTTATTCCCAATTCCCTATGTGAAAGTGTCCTTCAGGATTTCCTAACTCTTCTGCTGGTTAAAAAAAAGAAAGAGGCCAGGCATGGTGGCTCACACCTATAATTGCAACACTTTGGGAGGCCAAGGCAGGCGGATCGCTTGAGCCCAGGAGTTTGAGACCAGCCTGAGCAACATGGAAAAACCCTGTCTCTACAAAAAAATAAAAAATTTTGGTTGTGGTGGTGCATATCTGTAGTTCCAGCTACTCGGGTGGGAGGATTGCTTGAGCCATGGAGGTCAAGGCTGCAGTAAGCTATGATCACGCCACTGCACTCTTGCCTGGGTGACAGAGCCAGACCCTGAGGTGGGGGGGAGGGGGAAGAAGAGAGGAGAGGAGAGGAGAGAAGACAGAAGAGAGAGGAGAGAGGCGAGACAGAGAGACAGAAAGGAAAGAAAGAGAATTTCCTAGCTGTGTGACCTCAGACAAGTTATTCTTGAACCTCTCTGAGCATCACTTTCCTCATCTCTAAGGTACAACAGACAGTAAGACCCACCTCATTACAGTTGTTCTGATTCTTCAATGAGATGCAGTGCATAAAGTACTAAACACGACACTTGGCTCTCTACAATCACCAGCCAAAATCACCACCACCACACCGCTCCAGCTTAAAGGAGGCTACACAAGCGAGCCTTTCTTTTCCCCCAGCGTGCGTCTGTGATGTAAGTGGATGCTGCTTTCTTCCAGGCGTATGCTGAGAAACAACAACAAGCCCAAGGAGGAGAAGAGCGTGCTGATCCTTCCGCCCCGGGCGAGCACCCCGAAGCTCTTCAGCGCTGCCCTCGCTATGACAGGAAAGATGGGCGACAAGGGGGCAAAAGGTGGCAAACTTGCTCACCTCCGGGCCCGGCTCAAAGAACTGGCCGCGCTGGAGGCGGCTGCAAAGCAGCAAGAGTTGCTGGAACAGGTAATGTGGTTGGGAACCCAGCCACCACATCCATTTTGGATATGTGCCAGGGAGAAGGCCGAGGGGTCTCCAAGAGTGAGCCACACATTTAGTTTTAGGGTCTTCCCCGTCCTTTTTCTATCAGTCAGGACTCATTTGGTTACCAGTGACAGAGTGCAAGCTCAAATCAGCTTGAGAAAAAGGGGAATTAGGGGTCAAGTAATCGAAAAGTTCAGGAAAGCCTGGATCCAAAAGCCTGAATGATCCCAACAGGACGAGTTTTCCCATTGTATCATCTCTGCTTTATTCAGCGATGGTTTTATCTCCAGGCAGGTTCTCAAGAGTTCTAGGATGACATCCTCCTGGCATAGCAACTCCAACAGAAAGAAAGCACCTGTTTCCCAGGCATTCTAGCAAAAGTTCCGGGACTCACTGTCATTGGACAGAATTGGGTCACATGCCAATTCTTGAGCCATTCGGTGTGACCAGGGCACTGTGGTGTTCTAAAGAGGCCTGGGTCACATACCCACCCCTGGACTGAGAGTAGGCTGGGAGCAGGATCTCTAAAAGACAGTCTTGATACTGTTGCAGAGGTTAGAGGAGAGGGTGTGAGAAGCAAATGTCCCTCCCCAGAAGACAGTGTGTTCTCATATTTAATACTGTATCTGTGGCAATTTAAGATATTTGGGTCAGGCATGGTAGCTCACACTTGTAATCTCAGCACTTTGAGAGGCCAAGGCAGAGGATCTCTTCAGGCCTGGCGTTCAAGACCCGCCTGAACAACATAGCGAGAACTTGTCTCTACACATTTTTTCTTTTTTGTTTTTAATTAGGCAGGCTTAGTGGCACATGCCTGTGGTCCTAGCTACTTGGGAGGCTGAGTTGGGAGCATCACTTGAGCCCAGGAAGTCAAGACTGCAGTGAGCTATGATTGCACCATTGCACTCCAGCCTGGGTGACAGAGTGAGACCCTGTCTCAAAAAATGAAAAATAAAACTTTGAAAGTAAAATCCTCTCACACAGGCACAGTGCCTAATGTTCCCACCCCCATAAATCTATGGGGGACATTAAAATTAGTTCTGGGAATTTTTTCTGTGACCAAAGCCAAGAATACCAAGTAGAACAATTACGCTAATTATGTTTGTTCATGGCTGTCCCTTAGGAAGGCTGCTGGGGAACTGGAGAGGGACTGGGGTTAGGCAGACTGGGGTTAACAGTCTACACAGCCGAGTTCAAAGGAGCCCAGTGAACTCAGTCTCAATCCAGCCTGGTATCAGAGTCCAGGAGACCCATCCAGAGGTTGTTTGACAGTAGAAGTCTGGTGAGTGACATCAAAGCCATCTGGGGTACCAAGACATTCTCCAGATATAGCCACCAATGGCCCCAGACTGAGGAAAGATGTGATCGCCTGGCTCACAAACTGTCAAGGTCAAGGTGGAGCTGGCAAATGGGGGTCTTCAGCGCTGGCTGGTGTGAGGACTGACTAGACAGGAACTCCAAGGGTGCCCTCAGCACACTGAGAGCTTCAGCTGGGGCGGGCTTGTGGCTCCTAAGTGGTAGCTCTTCAACAAGGCAGCTTTAAGATGGGAATTAAACTTGCATGAGTGTTCCATTAAAAGGCACTTCCTTTCCAAATCAGAACAACCAGGGCAGAATGGCAGAGTGCAGGGAGCTCTTAACTAGACATCCAGAGACACAAGTCCAAATCCAAGCTCTGTCACCACTAGCTCGATGACCCAGGAAGCCCCTCAAGCTTTTTGAGACTTGAATTACTGAGGGTTGCCTCAGGAGGTCGTAAAGATCAAGCAGGATACCTTGGAGGCCTTTTAGAAAAGCATGTTGAACACAGCAAAGCACTTTTCTGACTTCCCATGATGCTGCTGGTTCCAGCCAGAGCGCCATGCTTCAGGAAGTCCCACAGTGCTCACCATCTGAGCATCCTGCCCTGGAAATGCGTTGTCAAGAGTTTAGGGTGGGCTGGTCGCAGGTGGCTCACCCCTGTAATCCTAGCACTTTGGGAGGCCGAGGTGGGCAGATCACTTAAGGTCAGGAGTTCAAGACCAGCCTGGCCAACATGGTAAAACCCGGTCTCTACTAAAGATACAAAAACTTAGCCAGGCATGGTGTCATGCACCTGTAATCCCAGCTACTTGGGAGGCTGAGGCAGGAGAATTGCTTGATCAAAGGCAGAGGTTGCACTGAACTGAGATCACACCACTGCACTCCATCCTGGGTGGCAGAGCAAGACTCGGTCTTAGAAGAAAGAAAGAAAAGAAAAGAAAAGAAAAGAAAAGAAAAGGGAAGGGAAGGGAAGGGAAGGGAAGGGAGGAAAAAAGAGAGAGAGAGGGAGGGAGGGAGAGAGGAAGGAAGGAGGAAAGGAAAGGAAAGGAAGGGAAGGGGAGGGGAGGGGAGGGGAGGGAAGGGAAGGGAAGGGAAGGGAAAGGAAAGGAAAGGAAAAGAGTTTAGGGTAACAGGGAAGGGTGGGACAGGGGCACCAAAACATACAGAAATACTGAGACAGAAGGGCAAGCATATCCCAAGAGAGGCCTTGGGCTCTCGGAGCATTTTGGCTGCCCCCTCTCCATTTTTTTCTTTCAATATCCTACGACTTGAGCAAATGGCGCAGGTCTCTCCGCACAAGCACGTTGACTGCTCTCACTTGAAACTCACAAGCACCACTTCACACAGGTCTTGGGCAGCTGAGGATCATTCCGTCCTCCTCTGGGGGCTGCTCCCTCTCCAGTTTCCTTCCTTGCAGAGATAGGATCAGGCAGAGTGGGAGGGGCCACAGGTATCCACAAAGGCTTGGTTTAATTACCCAGTCCCCTACTGATGTGAAGCCCATGGCCATCGCTTGTGGGAGGCAGCACAGGCTGGAGGCTGGAGGTATCCATCAAGTCTCCACATACAGGGTCAGCGCAGCCCAATACCAGGGGTACCCAGTCCTAGGCTATCCCTGAAGATCTCAACCTTTGAGACCTTCCAGAAAGGGGGCCCAGCCCCAGCAGCCTCTCCCCTCATCACTTTTTACCCTGTTTGCTTGGAGTTTTTTTCATCCACTCCAGGAGTGCCCATCCCTGGTAACAGATGGTTGAGCCTTTGCAGAGGCCTTGTGGGTACTCCCTCAGAGTCACTGCCTGGCTTGCTTCAGCAGCTCGGGGGAGGGGCCCTGCGCTTGAAACAACAGCCTCATCCCAGCTTCCAGCCCCACAGCCTAGATCTAAGACATGCCAAGACTTTCCATGAAATCCAACCGGGACTTTTAATCTGTACACTTCCCCATAAAGTACTTTGTTTCTCCTAAATAACCCCCATGCGGCTCCACCTCACCCACTAGATTTCACCCGCTGTGTGTTCCGCTGTCCTCTTTGGGGGCCCAAAAAAGCTGGAACAGGGAGGTGTCCAAGACCCTTCCAAGACCCCTCCCAGAGTCTGTGCCTCACGAGCCACCCTTTCTGGATTCCAGGCCAAGAGCTCGCAAGACGCCAAGGGAGAGGAAGGCTCGGCCGCCCTAGACCAGCCCACGCCCCCAAAGGAGGCCACCCCCGACCCACCCGCGCCCCAGACGCCCCCCGAACCCCTGGGGTCTCCACCGCGCTCTCCACCGCCTGCCTCCCTTGGGAGGCCCGAGGGAGAAGAGGAGGGGGCGGCCCAGCCTGAGGAGCACTCGGTGAGGATCCGCATGAGCCCAGGCCCGGAGCCCGGCGAGCAGATCCTGTCGGTGGAGATGCCGGAGGAAAAGGAGGAGAAGGTGGAGTAAGGTGTGGTGAGGCGGCTCCCACGCGCAGTTCTGGCAGGTGTGCCCCCAATGCCCGCTGCGCCCCTGCGCCCCAGCTTCCCCCACGGCCCAAGAGGAGATGCTTTTCCGCAGTCGTGGCCTCAGTGGCTGCAGCTCTGACCGCCCTGCCAGCACGCCAGCCCCGACTTAGCTCCTCGCGGGCTGGGCCTGAGCTCGACACATTTCATCAAGTGTTCCAGTCCCTGAGCTCTCAGTATCAGTTGAGAGCCCTGCCTTTTCCTGACTGTTCCTTTTTTTAAGAACAAAATGATGTTCCACTTTTAAAGTTCATGGGTGGGGGATAAAGTGAGGCTCCAATATATGGGAAGCTTTGTTGAAAAAGTAAAGGGTTATTGAATGTGTGGGGTTTCCCCTCAGGAATTTGTCTAACACATTTCAAGGACAGAAAATACTTCACGGCCGGGCATGGTGGCTCATGCCTATAATCCCAGTGCTTTGGGAAGTCGAAGGAGGAGGATCACTGGAGGCCAAGAGTTGGAGAGCAGACTGGGCAACATAGTGAGACCCCATCTCAAACAAAAACAAAACAAAACAAAATAGCCAGGTGTGGTGGTGTGCACCTGTAGTCCCAGCTACTGGAGAGGTTGAGGCAGGAGGATGGCTTGAGCCCAGGAGTTTCTGGCTGTGGTGAGCTGGACACAGTGAGACCTTGTCTCAAAGAACTAACAGATAGCCAGGCACAGTGGTTCACATCTGCAATCCCAGCACGTTGGGAAGCTGAGATGGGAGGATTGTTTGAGACCAGGAGTTCAAGATCAGCCTGGGCAACGTGTTGAGACCCCATCTCTACAAAACAGCAGCAGAAACAAAAGCAAACAACAACGTACACAAACAAAGAAACAAAGAAGGGAGGGCAGCCGAGCTGTTCAGCTGAGAATTGCCTGGTTCTGAGCTGAGCTTGGGACACTGTTTTCCTTTGCGGGCAATCACACTAGGGGGCTGGATGCCCATTAGGGTAGTTAGTGCTTATCTTCCTCAGACTCTATTCAATTCCAGTGCAATGCCATTATCTCAGAACAGATAGAAGGGAAACGGACTTACTGGCCAGGGACTGCTAGCGTTTCTGCCTCTGCCAGGAGGGACAGCCCGGTAGGAGCATCCTCTGCCTATCATCCTGAGAAACCCCATTCGCCAGCAGGGATCAGTCCGTTACTCACTTTTGACACTCTCGCTGTAGAGATGGTAGCAGCAACTTCAATTAATCCTAGAAAATGAAATCTCCCAGCTGATGACAGCACTTACATTCCCTAAAGCTTTCCAGATCATGTCATGTTGCTTTTATGATTCAGACAAAAAAAAAAAAAAAGAAAAAAGGATCATTCAGGGAATGAATATTTATCGAGAGGATTTTATTTGCATACTGAATGGCTCTTGGGGGAGTGAGTGATTAAAAATAAAATCTAGCATTCTAGTATTAGGCCATTTGTTTCCACCTGCAACAGTGAACATAAAGGACCTGGAATTCCAATAGGTCCTGCCCATTTTATATAAAATTACAGGAAAACGTGAGCTGCTCAGAGGCCTTTAAGGTTTGCAAATGTCTATATGTATTTGTCCATCCACTAAAAACAACATTCATTTCCATTGCAGAAAATTGAAAGAATGTGGGAGTCCCCAGGCTGGTCTAAGCATTTCCAAATCTCAGAGTCACAAACAGATTTGTCTAGTTGATGGCTTGTCACATGATCCGGGTAATCATCACATTGAATATAGTGATTGACCTTATTATTTTACCTTTTTTTTTTTTAAAAAAAAAGCTTTTAAAATGTATTTTAATAGACAATAACATATTTACATGGGTACAAAAGGATATCCAATAAAAATTCTTCATCCTGCCCTGGTACCCAGCTTCCTTGGTTCCCTCTCTGGAAGCAACCACTGTTAACAGTTTCTCCTGTATCATTTCAGAGTTATTTTATGCTTATACAAGGAAATATGTAACTGCTTCTTCCCTTCCTTTTTAATTTTAACAGAAGTGGTAACACATATTAGAGCCACTGTTATTTTTCACTTAATTTACTTTGGAGATGGTTCCCTATCCTTAAAGAGCATGCTTGTTTTTTTGGTGACAGCAATCTAGTTTGTTGTATGAATGTATGATAACATTTAAACCACTCTCCCATTGATGGGCATTTGCGTTGTTTCCAATCTTACACTGTTAAAAGTAATGCTGCAATAAAACAGTCTTGTGCAGACATAATTTCACTGGTAAATATCTTTTAAATGGGGGAACTCTGCGAGTTTAGGCAGTTATTTTTCCTCCGTCTCCATTTACTATTTGTATATTTGTACCACATAGTCTAAGATCGAAGCACAGAGAATGCTTCCACCATTAGCAAGTGTTTCAGATGTGCTAACAAACACATTGCTTTTCAGTAAATGGCAAAATGCTTCAACAGCACCTTCCCTGTGAGATCCTATTTTATAAGGAATCTTTTTTATACGAATGTACTTATTCTTTTAGATATCAGTTCTTGAATGTGTACTCCTTATGATATAAAGCAAGAGATTCTTGAGGTTCCCAAGAATTGTCCTGGAAAGAAAATTGATTTTGAAATGAGATTCGCAGTGTTTTAATTTCGCTGAGATAACTCCTTTAACGCAGTACTTTCACAAAACTTAGTTATTACATAAATTGAATTTGAGGCTGGCATTCTTCCCCAAATTGAATTGGACTGGTTGTTTGCTGAGGTATGAATGGAACAGCTCAGAAGCATTTTAATTCTGTAGCTGAAACAGGACTCTTATTTATGTATGTTCAATCTCTACTTATTTAAAATGTCTCAGCAGTTCCTGCATTTAGATGGAAAACAAATAGCCAATATTTTTTTAACTACATAAATATTTTAAATAGAATGAAAACCAAGAAGCTGTTTCAAATTTTATTATCAAAGTGTGTTCAGCTACCTGAAATATTTTAGTCTGTTTTCTTAGTAAACATGAACACTTTATTTACACTCTGCCTTTCATATTACAATGCATTTAATTAAAGTATTTAGACAAATGTTCCTGGCTTGTGGATTCATTTCAGAAATCAACCATGGGTGACAGACACCTTTGTGAGAAAAACTATGTAAATTTCCTGGCCCAGGCACTCCAGCAAATGTCCTACGGACATCCTTCTGGTTCTAATCCATCCTGCATTCCTATTGCTGGAATGATATTCTTATCAAACCTCTATGGCCACTTTGAGAAGCTGAGGTGGGAGGATTGCTTGAGCCCAGGAGTTCAAGACCAGCCTGGGCAACGTAGTAAGACTCCATCTCTATTAAAAGAAAAAACAGGCTGGGTGTGGTGGCTCACGCCTGTAATCCCAGCATTTTGGGAGGCTGAGGCAGGCAGATCACCTGAGGTCAGGAGTTCGAGACCAGCCTGGCCAACATGGTGAAACCCGGTCTCTACTAAAAAAATACAAAAAAAATTAGCCGGGTGTGGTGGCCAGCTACTTGTGAGGCTGAGGCAGGAGAATCACTGGAAACCGGGAGGCGGAGGCTGCAGTGAGCCGAGATCGTGTCATTGCACTCCAACCTGGGTGACAGAGCAAGACTCCGTTTCAAAAAAAAAAAAAAAAAGAAAGAAAAAGAAAAGAAAAAATAGGGCCAGATGTGGTGACTCACACCTGTAATCCCAGCACTTTGGGAAGCTGAGGTGGGTGGATCACCTGAGGTCAGGAATTCGAGACCAGCCTGGTCAACATGATGAAACCCCATCACTACTAAAAATACAAAAATTAGCCAGGTATGATGGCTCACGCTTGTAGTCCCAGCTACTCTGGAGACTGAGGCATGAGAATTACTTGAACCAAGGAGGCAGAGGTTGTAGTGAGCTGAGATCGCGCCATTGCACTCCAGCCTGGGCAACAGAGTGAGACTCAGTCTCAAAAAAAACCACCACCAACAACCAAAAACCCAAAAGACTTCATGGCCTCTAGGACTCTAAGCCCTTCAAGTTAAAAGTCCCTTTATGTCTGTGCCATCTCATCTATTATAAGACAACTTACAATTTCCCCAGCCCATTAGATTTGTTCAATGACGCACAGTGCTGATAAACATGGACTCAAGGATTCAGACTGCCTGGCTTCCAATCCCAGTTTGATCATACACCATGGACCTCTCTGAGCCCCAATGACCTCATCTATAAGATGGATATAATACTTTGAGTCACACAGGGCCACCGTGATGATTAAGTAATAGACTGAAATTGCCAAGTTTGAGTGGGCATGAGGAAGAAAAGCAACTCACTGTCCCTCTTACTCTGATAGCTGGTATAGACCGGAAGCCTCTGGATAGCTCTGTCTTCTCGGAACTCTGACTCTGCCTAGGGTTATACACACAGAGAGCTTTGATCACCTCTTTCCTTGACTCTTTAACAGTGTTTGTACAAAGGGCTGGACACATGTTAATTATAACAATATAAATCGCAGATTTCCCTACCATCAATTAATGATTTAACCCAATTTTATAACAAAACAGACCCTAAAACACCCCAGCAAGGCTTACTCTCCTTGGGGCAATCACTCCAGTTCTGGGCTAGGCCCAGGGCTGGCTTCGTGGGCTTGTAACCTGTGCAGTCACACAGGACTCTGTGTCCAGAAGCGCTCTGTGCTTGAAATTCTTAATAAGTTTTGAGCCATGGGTCCTGCATTTTATTTGCACTGGTTCCCATAGGTGATATAGCCTGTCCTGGCTAGGTCGCGATACTACGCAGTATCTGAAATGGTCAGTGGTTGAAGGAGGTAAAGATGTCTTTTCTGCACTCAGCTTCCGTCTCTCTTCTTCTAGCCCCAGAATTCTGCTTCCCCTTTTGGAAGATTACCTTTCAGTCATGTGTAGTGACTCCAACACAATGACCTAAGCCAGGCCCGTTGGCTCTCTTTGCTGGGAAGGTGAATCTTAAGAATGATGGCCCACTCCTTCCTTGCTAACAGAGCCCTGATTTAGCTTTGGACAGCAGCATGCCCATCCCCAGAAGATGAAGCCCCTGGTATGAGCCAATCACTGCTCTCTGTTCTTTTTTGCCTAATTCTTGCCTTTCCAGACTTTTTTGTAGCTAGGTGTGACCCAGTTCCAACCCGTGAATTAATCAAGTATGGAAAGCGCTCTGTTGCTGTTGTCCTTCTCCTGCCTGGGATACTGAAGTGAGAATGTATTTGGAGCTGCCATCTCATGACTGAATAGCCAAAAATTGGAGAGATGCAGCCTGTGACATGTGTGAGCTGCCAAATCAACCTTGAAACCATGCGTGTTCAGACTACTCATTATATGAGAGAATGAAATATCTTTATTATTTAAAGCCATTCATATCGTCTCTGTTACCTGCAGCTGAAAACATCCCGATGTAGGAGCAGTGCAACGGGCTAGGCATGGTGGCTCATGCCTATAATTTCAGCACTTTGGGAGGCTGAGGCAAAAGGATCACTTGAGCCCAGGAGTTTGAGGCCAGCCTGGGTAACATACCA